TATCGAATAACATCTGATCGAAATCGGCAATAATGGCAAATTTTTCGATGCCTCATTTAACAAATTTTTGAGAAAAATACAAATGTTAAAGAAGCACGGTACACTATTTTTAATAATTAAGTCATAATTATATCCAAAATATGGGCAAAAAATATATTTTACAGTTTCGCCTATAATTTAAAGACACCTTGAGATATCAAAGAAGTGATTTTATTTTTGAAATCTCTAGCACTGAGCATATTTTCAACTAAATCGATATATTAAACTACTTTTTGAAAAAATATTTGGATTCGATATTCATGAAAATTTAGGTACAATATAATAAAAGAAGTACAGAGTTGTGCACCTAAGTGATTGTAAAACTCCATAAATTTTTAACACAAATTTATTATTTAGTAAACTTTTTTTTAACATGAACGTTTATGTTTAGTGATAAGTCTAATCTCTCGTGCTCGTGGTAACAGATTGGATGCTTTGGGCAAAGTATGAATAAAAAATCTATGACAAATATTTTTATTGAATCTTTGAGTTGATAAGAACTCACTAGCAGCACTACGGGTTTGATATACAGAAGTTATATTATTCTTGAATAATTTGTTTTTGAAAGCATATATACACAAACTTTGAAAATATAATTTTCGGATATTGCGTACATCTTCAGTATACATATATTAGATTTGTGTGATATCTTTTTTGTGTTTTAAGTATAATTCTTAATATGTAGTTTTATGCAATATTTAGTTTCTGTAATTAATTCCTGTCCATTCCTCCCACCCTATATAAAGATACCATAACGAAAAAGTGATTCGGCTAGTAATACCAATTTTCTCGAAAGAAATTCTCGCAGTTTTGTTTCTACCTATTTAAATAGATAACAGTTTTAGGTGATTTGACGTTGAGAAGATATAATGTTTAAAAAGTAGGTACTATTGTTATGTAAGGGTGGGAGTGGGATGTTAAAAAGAGTGTAAATGAAAGGGCGCTTTTATAGTGGAAAATGGTTGGGTTACAATTCTACTAAAAATCGGGATTTCAATTTTGTCATCACGAAAGTAAATTTCTTTGTCTATATAAATTTTCTAAGAGGGCATGAAACGTATTTCTAAAATTTAAAAAAAAATACAGCTTTTAATGGGTATAGCTAATTAAAAGTTTACATTTAATTTTATTTGTAGCTATTTTTTAGGGCTGGTAGAAGGCTGAAAATATAATTTTAAAATTGAGAAAAATGCTATAGCAAATTAAAATTCTAACTTTAATTATTTCGGCCCATCCTATTGACCGTGTCAAATGCTTATGCGAGATCCAGAAAGACTGCTATACATTATTAATTTTAATCGAGACCCTCTGTAATTTTCTTCATAACTGCGCACATAGCCTCATTCGTTGCTTTGCCAGTGCAAAAACCAAACTGCTGTTTATTTAATATATTATTATTCCACGAATAGAACGCATGAAAGCGTTAGCACGATAGTATGTTAATTGGCCAAATATAGACAAAGATATCGAACACTTTGTCAGAAGTTGTGGTTAGTGTGCATCAGTTGCAAAGTCCCCAACAAAAATAGAATTAAAATCTTGGCCTACACCACAAAAACCATGACACCGACTACATATTGACTATGCATAATTATAGATAAACAATATTTCTTGGTAATTGTCGATGCATTTACCAAATGGCCAGAAGTTATTCTGACAACATCAATAACTGCTAAGAATACTGTCAATATATTTTGCAAGAAGTATTTTCAAGATTTGGGTTTTGTGATACAACAGTTTCGATCAGATAACGGAACCCAATTTATCAGTTCTCAATTCTAACAATTTTGTGGAGAGTTTAGTGTCGAACATATTACAATAGCACCTTTCCACCGGACAAGCTGAACGCTTTATTGACACTTTTAAGCGTGGTATCAAAAAAATTAGAGGGGTGGAAGGGTTATTAGAAGCATTGCATACATTTTTATGGAATTATGGTGCTACTCCTAATAAAGCTACAGGAGTGTCACCAGCAGAACTTATGTTGGGCCGGAAAATAAAAACCCAACGACATGTTAAAACCAATTCATTCGACTAGTTATTTTGTAAATGAAAGTCAAAATGAACAGTTCAATCATAAACATAGAGCCAGAGTAAGACAGTTTGAAGTTGGTGATTTAGTTTTTGCAAAGGTTTATAAAAACAATTCTTTCAATTGGACACCGGGAGCCATTATAGAACGAATTTGTGAGGTATTGTACAACGTGTTATTAGAGAATGATGCCGTTAGATGTTTAAGATTGATTCGTTCACATACATAGCCTAGATGGGCTACTACAAATAATTCAATTTCAAATTTTTGTTGCAAGTCCTTGCCGTTGGTTCTCATGGATGAATTTATTACATTTTCCAATGATCATTCAAAAGAAACTGAATCAAAAGAAAATTATTAAACCTTAGATATTGAATATGTACGACTACCCATGAATCAAACTGTCGAACAGGAAAATACCATAGATTCAACACCCTCAACATACAGTATACAGTCAGCTACCAGGCAGTCTCAGCGACAAACAAAACTTCCAAAACGATTGGATTATATGTTGAATTAAAAAAAGGGAGATGTTGGAACACGCTGTATATATTTGTTTAGTTTTGTCATACTGATAGATTTTATTTAATTCATTGTCATGTTTTGGAATTAAATGTTAACACTTTATTAGTATTTTTATGTTGTAAGTGAAAATACAACAATTATTTTAAAAAATCTTTCCAAAACTATTAATTACACTAATTGGCCTACAATATAAAAGAAAGTAAGGGAAACAGTTAAAATTTGTTTTCGTTTTTCTCTGTTAATATTTATTCAATCACCCTGTAGATTTCACCCAATATAAAACAAAAATAGATTTGAATGCTTCCCATCTTCATCTATAATAGTTTCAGACTTATTCAAGTTTAAAATAATTGAATTAAAAAAAAACGCCCTTTTGCCACCTGACTAATCGAAATTTTCCATTACGTAGAGATTACCTTCTCCACTATTTTATGTTCACTTGCCCATGTTACCCGTCATCATTGCCGCTTTGGACCAAAACAGAAATCTACTATTAACTAGACCTTGTTTTGGCGAATCGTCTGTAGATGGGGCCATCCAACGTATATTTCAAAGAAATTTACTACCTACACCTTTTGGAAATTCGTAGATAGATGGCGACTTCGCCATTTTTTATCCATATATTAATACAATGTCCATACTTATACAAAATGTACTTTTAACATTTTACACAAAGAAGATAAAGGCTGTATGTCACGATACTAAATTAAGTACTAAATTTAGAACTAAATTAATGCATTTTTTAAGTACTAAAAAAATTCACGTTGCAAACAGCAAATTTAGTACTAAATTTAGTGCTAAAAAAAGTCATTAAAGGCTGTATGTCACGATGCTAAATTTAGTACTAAATTTAGTACTAAATTAATGCATTTTTTAAGTTCTAAAAAAATTCACGTTGCAAACAGCAAATTTAGTACTAAATTTAGCACTAAAAAAATTAATTAATTTGTTCTATTTTCTACTAAATTTAGTACTAAAAATGCGTCGAAATGTTGCGCAGTAGCTTTGGTTTAAAAAAAGTTGACAGTTGACACAACTGTCGAACTGTCTCTGTACCATTTTGTTTTTGGTTAGCGTTAGCGACATTTGGCATTGCGTGTGATTTTGTACAACTAAATAATAACAACTTAATAATAATAATAATAATAATAATAAAACAGTACACGAAATAAATAAAAAATATACGAAATAAATAATAGCTTAATAAAATCACAATAATCTATTTTGAATCTGTCAAATGCCACAAATGTTTAACGGCTTCAACGCTGTCAAGTCAACAGTCATTGCGTTCGGTTTGCCAAGTTCCTTTAACTCCTTTAACACTTTTAACTCCAAACGACCCTTTTAACGTTCGGTTTAGTACGATTAGTGACAATTTAACTCGCTTAAATGTCATTTAAAAGCAGCCTAAAATTTGTCCCGCTCCAGCCCCTGACTATCCGAACTCGCCTAGTATCAACTGTCTAATTTCCACAAAACATTTTAGTTCTGTTGGGGTTCTGTGCTAATTTCACGAAAGGGTACGCTAATGCGCATGCGCCTATACTTAATTTAGTACTAAAAATTTGTATCGTTGCAAACAGCAAAAATTTTTTTTAGTTCTAAATTTAGTACTAAATTAATAACTTAATTTAGTGCTAAATTTAGTACTAAATTTAGCATCGTGACATACAGCCTTAAGTACTAAAAGTGCGCCGAAATGTTGCGCAGAAGTTTTTCATAGAAAAAGTTGACACGACGGTATTTTCTGTACCCTTTTATTTTTAATTAGCGACAATTTTACATTATCGCCTTGAATAAAGTTCGCTTGTTTGATTTTGTAGGTTTTATTGTGTTTTTTTCGTGGTTTTTATGCTGTATTTGGTTGTTGTCAAGTCAACTAGTGTCAAATTGATAATAAAAACACCATTTACTTGTCTGTTTTACACATAATATTTCATTTCTCTGTTAATTTTACGTATTAATATGTCAATGCGCGTGCGCCTATAGTAAATTTAGTACTAAAAATTGGTATCGTTGCAAACGGAAAAAAATATTTTTAGTTCTAAATTTAGTACTAAATTAATAACTTAATTTAGTGCTAAATTTAGTACTTAATTTAGTATCGTGACATACAGCCTTTAGGATGAAAAAATGTTAGCCTGCAAACTTTGGATATTTATGATAATGTTAAGTGAAATACTAATAAAATTAGCATTTATGTTTTACACTTTAAGAGGAAACCAGACCTCTCGCGAAAGCAAAAATGTTTTAAGGATTTTCTAATATAAAATTATATTTATATGCGTGCCATTGGGAATACTTCGTGATATTATGTGTCTTGACAATATTGAGAGCTTTAAATTTGTACAACGATAAGGTAGCACTCTACAGAGACGTTTAAGAAAAAAAGGTGGAAAAAAACTAGGTACTAGATATTTATTAAAACAAAAAGCAGTACATTTTATAGATTTAATACAGAATGGCAGGTAATGTTTTTTTTTTTAATTCTTTTTAAAAATTTTCAAAATAAACACTTTGCGAAGGTTTACAAAAAAAAATCAAGATTTCTCCACCCTAAGTTTTGTTATTATTGGTATTTCCTGAAAATTTCACAAAAATCGGACTAAAAATAAAAGGCTCAGAATGAATTAAAAATTTTCTAGGTGTCCAGTTTGCTCTTAAAAATTAAGTTTTTTTTTTTAATTCACTTAAACGGTACCGCCAAAGAATAGCTTCTAATATCCCTTGACACAAGTAGGTGTGAAAACTACAGAGAGCCAGCCTTAGGGCAAACAGGAATGTACAAATACCAGCGGTGCCAGCCCGTAAAGCCTGGCCACCATTTTAATGAGGTCGGTTCATAAAAATGGCAATGTTAACACCATTCATTTTCCGCTTGCTCCAATGCAGACTCTCTGTAGCTTTCACTTGTACTTTTGCTAAGGGATATTAGAAGGTATTCGTTGCTCGATACAGAATATGCTTACCTTCAGATAAAAAATGTACACATGCAAAAATTGGGAAATTAACGGATACACCATTTATAATAAATATATTATATTTAAAAATTCTGTAAAAGTACCTATCTATTAACATAACAACATTCACAAATAAAGTTTTATAAGCTCATCACTAACAGCAGAAGGCGTTAAAATTCCCAAATCTGTAAATAACAATGTAATATATGAGGGTGGCGTATAATCAACCAAAGGATGAATTTTACTTAAATCACACTTTCTCCTAATATCTGAAGTATATTTGTATTCCTCTGGGAGATCCTGTTGCCCCAATGGAAACAATCTAGAAAACTTGAAACTTTCCGTCAACACATAAAAAGGTTTTTTGACTTCTTTGGCGCAAACTGCCATAGTGTAACTGCCAACTTTGTTAACAATACCACCACTTTCAACTACACCTTCAGCTCCGACCATAATAAAATTTACCTGTTCCATGATGTAACCAATTGCAGAATCGAGGATTAAAGTACAAGGAATTCCTTCAGTTTCTAAGTCCTTTACCATTCTTTTACCACTGTTATCAGGAGCAGATATCGTTACAAATACCTCAAACTTTTTATTCTGCTTACAAGCTTTTCTCAAAGTTTGGAGCACAACTCTCGACCTGGAATGTGTTAAAATCTTACAACCATCTTCTATAAAATTAGCAGCCAGTCTGACTATCTTTCCACGCGCTTCTTCCAACTTTTTAATAAATAAATGCCCTCGAGCCAACATGATTTTCTTGCATTTCTCGAAATCTCTGGTGTCCAAGGCTGCTAAAGTAATAAAACGTATGAACAACTCACAAGCCGAGTTTATAGCTGCTACGGTGTAATTAGTGTTCTTCATCGCTTCGATCGCTTCTTTTAAATTAGCTTCCAACTCTTGAACCGTTTCGGAATTTGAGAATTTGATGACTTCCATCAGGGATCGTATGGCTGCTACGCCAACAGAAACGTCTTCGTCTTGTTTGATGATTTTACAAAAATACTCCTGTATGTTCGCTGAAGTCGTCATTTTTATCTTTTGCGGGATACTACGGCTTTACATTAATTTGAATAAAACTTTAAAAATTGTTGATAAAATGTGAGGTATATAACCTCACTCTTTTAAACATCAGTGTCAACACTGTCAACGTCACTCATTGATTTACACCAATGCTATATAGTTATATAGATTTTTCATCCATATATAAATCAGCCGAAGAAAAGCTTCACTAGGCCAAGTTTCCTTTTTATCTAATACATGCAATGTTTATATTTTATCTAAATTTGTTATTTGGGCTTCACTTTTTGGTTAAAATATGTAACAGTTTCATATACGGTTTTCTCCCATTTTGTGTTATGTGGGAAAAGTTAAACACTTTCACAGCATAAAATGAAATATCTAAACAATATTAAAATAATAGAAAACCGTAAGTATATGAAACAAGTACCGTAACATATTTTAACCAAGAAACTATTGAAATAAGTAAAATATAAAAATAATTTTTCAAATACTACCCTGTTTATTGCTATCATTTTGTATACTTACCACATACTTTTGCCGCGTTTGAGAATCCACATCGGATGCATTTTTTACATCTCGAGCGTTTTTTTATCCACATCGGACACATCTGTCCCATTCACTGATCTGTATTATTTTACTGGATAGGATATAGCCCCCTAAAAAACGTTCCGAAAAATTGGCCGATTTGGGCAAATAATATGGCGGACCGGATGTTATTTAACGTAACCTCTATTTCCATTTGTCATCACATTTGTCATTTAATTCTGTCAACAAGCTACGATGACATGTTTTTATTGTGGAAAACAAAGTAAAAAGAGTATGAAATAAACAATAAACGTTCATTCCTGAAGACACAATATGTTTCACGTTTCCATTTTTATATTTTCCTTCTATTAAAACATTAAATCATGGGTGAAATTTCTCGAAGGACATCGCCCGCAAAAGGAATAGAAGAAGAATAAGAAGAAAAACTAATCAAATTATAGGTTAGGTATGTCAAATTATCCCAAATTTCAGTTCTGTGAACACACCATAATTTGCCCAAATCGGCCAGCATTGTTGCACTTCCGGTCTCCTTGCTGGAACGATTTTTTAGTATGTTAAATATAGCCTATATCCTATCCAGTAAAATAATACAGATCAGTGGTCCCATTACATTTGCTGCGTTTGAGAATCCACATCGGATGCATTTTTTACATCTCGAGCGTTTTTTTATCCACATCGGACACATCTGTCCCATTACATTTACGTATACTGAATCACGTGATCAAAGATTTTTTACATCCCAGATGCATCCGATGTGGATTCTCAAACGCAGCAATTTACGTATACTGAATCACGTGATCAAAGATTTTTTACATCTCAGATGCATCCGATGTGGATTCTCAAACGCAGCAATTCTCAGATCTAATTCTCTATCACGTGATAAAAAATTCACAACATCTCAGATGCATCCGATGTGGATTCTCAAACGCGGCATTTGATTACTATACGGGACAAGAGAGAGGTCCGACACGCCCAACATAGGGCGCGGCCATTTTGAACCCTATGACACAGTTTATAGCTAAAGAATCAGATCGCTCACTCTGCGTCGGCACTTTTGATGTCAATGTTCCAGTTTATACACTGCGCAACTCAGATAATACAATATATGACAACCGCCTATAATAAAACAGCAGTCTTCTGCGTATCCTGGATTTGTATCCCTGGAGTGGATGTTATTTTGGAACTTTCAACTGGTCCGAGTGAGCTAACTGATTCTTTAGCAATAAACTGTGACTCCTAAAATAATATTCACTGACACTGACAGCAGCAAGAAAATATCAGGTGCGTTTTAATCATCCGCTTCTGCTTCCGGAATTGTCGGTTTAGTCGTTTTAACCTGTCAGATTAAAACAAGAAAACCGACAATTCTGAAGCAGAAGCGGATGATTAAAACGCACCTATTAAAAATATTGCGCCAAGATGTAGGCAACACGTAATAAGGGTTCAAAATGGCGGAGTTTTCTATCTCCTTCTAAAAGGCACTCAGAAAGCTGCGCAGTGTGACCATTCTCCGTATAGTAAGAGAAAATCAAAGTATGTGACCTTAATGGCCTGTCCAGAGCTCATCTCTGGACCTGTCCTTATTTAGGCGAGTTCGGATAGTCAGGGGCTGGAGCGGAACAAAAGCGGAGTTTTTTTAGGGTGCTTTTAAATGACATTTAAGCGTGTTAAACTGTCACTAATCGGACTAAACCACATACTTTCTTAAATTAGTTAGAAATTGTGGGAGCTGCTAAGGGACTGGCAAATAGGAAACACAAATTGAGAAATTTGTAGTAAATTTAATAAAACCTTTTCAAAAATTTTATTATTTTCGTTAATGAAAGAATTTCTTAGTTTCTCAAAACTTTCGTTGCTCTTCCATACAAAAGCTACCTTTTCTTTTTTCAACATGAGAAAAGAAAAACTAAGAATAACTCGACAAGTTTTAATTATACGTAATCGAATATTTTCACTTATTCTCGATCATGATAGCGATTGCTCGGAACTTATTAGGTCTTTTCCTTTGCATCGAAAGTGTAGCACTGAGCTACACCACTTCTGAAAATATCGTTCCATTTATACAAATTGTATGGATAGAACGATATTCTCAGAAGTGACGTAGCTCAGTGCTACACTTTTGATGCAAAGGAAAAGACCTAGTATCAGACATACGTGAAACTACTATTTCCATGGGAATGTCTATTCCGACACGTTCGAGAATTGCATAACCTATTACTATGGGAATATAAGTAGTGGAATATTTTCCCATGGGAAAATTTTCCAATGATCTCGAGAATCGAGCCCCTGGGGCTGGTAACTCAAATGGAAAAACATGAGGACGGTAATTTAGTACCACTCCTATTAACGGGATGGCGTTCGTATCGAAATGTCAGTTGTCAGCTTGTCAACAAAACTTCATACTTGGAAAACTTAAAATGGCTGTCGCATTTGAAGGTGTATTCATGGGTGTATTGAATTTTGATTCATCTAGATTTATTTTTCAACACCTTCCAATTTTAATAGGATGACCAGACGTCAGGATTAAGCCGGACATGTCCGGCTTTTAGGCTTAAATGAAAACGTCAGGCCGGCTTTTTTGTCATGTCCGGCTTTTTATCAATCGAAAATTGATGAAATCATTTTATTAAAAGACAGTTTGACAACAAAGATTCAAAATGAGGAATTTTTATCATTATCTTTAGATAAAAAGTCGTCTTACTTAAAATTTGTGAATTATACTTTGCTATTCCGGCACATAATGCTGCCGTCGAGCGACTTTTTTCTTTAATCGCAGCGCAGTGGACCAAAGAAAGAACCCGTTTATCTATCGAATCAATAAAAAGCCTCATAATGTTAAAATTTAAAAATGTCTTGTGAGGAATATTATAATTATTTGATAGACAATCCCAATAGGTATTTTAAAAGAAATTGGTTCTTCTGAAAAAGTGTAAGTAGTTTTTACCAAAGTAAAAATTGTTACATTTTTTTAAATAAATATATTTGTTAAATGTCAGGTTTTTTTATTAAAAATCAGGCTTTTTGTCCTGGTTGTCCTACTTTTCTGCAAATAAATCTGGTCACCCTAATTTTAAGCATGTTTTCAAGAGATGGGAACATGAATTTCAGCAACGAACAATGAAGCACTCCCAAATATTGGTAGTGATGCAATTTATACCACGTATTAAATATGCGGTCGTCGTATTAAGGATAAACATACAATTTGTAATAAGTGTCTTAAGAAAAATGCATCTTGTACTGGCATATCAATGGTAAGTAATATTTACAAACTTGTTTTTGATTCAGTGTTAAAATAATTGGTTTGTTATTTAAATTTCTTTTTGTTTTCAGTTTTTAAATGATCATTGTTATAAAGAAAAAGTTGGCCCTTCAAAATACCCTGTAGATCGATTAAATATTTGAGCCTTGGCCATCAATATCAAAATTTGATTCAATGCCATTGACATTAAACAAGAAAGCACCCCAAAATCTTCAAAGGTCGAAACGTGTGTAAGTTTAATTTAAGCTCGAAAGTTAAATTCATTTATCACAGTGCCAAGATCATGAATAAGAATTTGATAACTACATGTGCTGTACAAATAAATCAATAAAACCATATCGGATGAAGAAATGTTCCTCAACTTAACTAGTCGACTCAATAAGCATATGGCAAATTTTATCCACCCTCAAATTTGCCTTGATAGTAAGACACCAAAAGGATGATGCTTCAACTTAAATTTTTGAAACTTATTGCCACTACAAGTCGCAAAACTTTTATATTGGTATTGAGCACTTATATAATATGTCAGATTTTGTTACAGAAAACATTTTTGATAGGTTTGTTTTATAAATATTTAATGGTATAAATGCATATTTGTTTGAGTATTTCCATGTTTAAATAGACAAATTATATTATGCGGCGTTAATTTACTGTAATAAAAAAAAATAAAATAAATTGTATTTTATTTTATTTCAAGTTTGAAATTAATGCAAAAATATAATGAAGAAAATCAAACAAAAAAAATAAATTGGCAAAGTATTTGACTATTTTCAAATCACAAAACAGTCAATATGGTTGTTTTATGATTTGAAACTAGTTAAATATTTTGCCAATTTATTTTTTTTTATTTTCTTCATTATATTTTTGCGCGACTAGCAGAAAGTTAAATTTTAAAAAGCCCGCGCTAAGCGGCCATATTGAATTTTAGTACCACTCCAATTTGATAGATGGCAGCACATCGACTCAGAATTTTACCATTGAGTTTCCCATCTATTCACAGTAATCTATGGTGGCGACTTTATAGTTTTCGGGTGCGCTCGCCAACATTCGTATCAGTTCAAAGTTTTTTAATATTAAATATTTAATATCATCGTTATATAAACCTTCTAAAATGGTAATTTCTAATGCCTCTTCCATATTATATGTACTATTATAAACAACAAAAAAAAAGAACTGTCATTCAAATTTTTAAAATGAGGTTAAAAATATGTATAAAGGTTTGCAATTAAATATTATTTTAGCATGGAATTTATTTGCCTGACCGATTAAACCAAGGAAATTTTTATTTATATAATTGGAAATTATCCTTATTCAAATAATAATAATAAGGACCGATTTCACCGTTGTGTTAAACGAAGTTTAAGTTACTAAGGGCCGATTCCACCGTTGTGTTAAACGGAAATTAAAATGATATTGTTAATGTAAAAATTTCATTTTAAACTTCGTTTAACACAACGGGGGAATCGGTCCTAAAGCGAATTTTAAAATGACATTGTTAATGTAAAAAATGTCATTTTAAACTTCGCTTAGGATAGATTCCACCGTTGTGTTAAACGGAGATTAAAATGACATTGTTAATGTAAAAATGTCATTTTAAACTTCGTTTAACACAATGGTGGAATCGGTCCTTAGTAATCTAAACTTCTCTTAACACAACGGTCGAATCGGCCGCGTTAAAGTAATTAAATAATAGGCATATAATCGTTTAGTTACCAATTAAATACCTTTAAACTATTTTTATGATATGCAAACAATATTAAGAAAAAACTAAAAACAGTAGCAACGTATATCAAATTTAATGCTGTTTTATTAAAAATTTGGTTAGAAGTTAACTGTCAGTGGCATCATTATTGCGTCACACTAATATGACGTATTTCATAATTATACATTCATTCGTTTCAAATAAAAATAACTTGGTGCCAGACTTTTTCTCTACCCCGAACAAGAAAATACGTTTATTACCGACTTCATTTTAAATTATGAAAAAATATATTTAAATATTGTTAAAATTGAAATTATGCCAAAAAGTTAGGTACATTACTTTTAAAATTAAGTAATAAATATTATTTTAGATGTGGAGCATCGCTGATTCACCCACAAGTAGCTATCACTGCTGCACATTGCGTTAGCCGAAAAGGACCATTTAACATCAGAGCTGGAGAATGGAACTGGAAAATAAAATCGGAGCCCTTACCTCATCAAGACCAAATTCCTAAAAAGGTAAGTCAGACGTCTCAGTAAATGAACAATAAACAGATTTAGGCTTTAAATGTAAATTTTTAGTTTTCAAAACGCTAAACATTTTTAATAATTTGTGTTATCTAGTACGGTACATGTTTGCTAAAAACATTCTATTTTATATCTATTATAGCCTGTTACCCCTCAGATTATAGCTATTAGCTACCTATTATAACTGAGGTGAATAGAGATAACAGAGATATAAGCAGTCATTGATAAAATATAATATTCACGATGCCAACATTAATTCGACAATCGATACATTCTATTTCTAGACGCGGGACGTGGCGACGAAAGGTGAGAAGTAAAAGAAGGGATAAAGAGAAGAATTTTACGCAGATACAACTTATTTTTATCAATGAATAAATGTGTAAGCCGCTGTGCGCTTATAATAAGTAACGTAAATTTCCATGCTGGTGTAAGCCCTGTTGCCACTTCCAACCTAACATCACGAAGTTTTGGAATTTATTGAAAATTATTACATATAATTTAGTGAAATTACATCTAATTTAGTTAAATTTAATATAACTAATGATTCAAAATTTTTGGGTTCAGTTGCAATAAAATAGGTTGAATTATTTTAGCTTTTTTAATATATGTAAATAATTTTGTAAACAAAACGAGAATAATGAAATAGGCATATGACAACAGCGGATATTATACCCGTATGTGTCCCTTAGAATATGTTTTATTCAGGACCGCACGATATTTGTTAGTAGTTACATCTCCTCGTTATCTCTGGAAGTGGCCAGCTTTCCGAAATCCTAAAACGTGACAGAAGTTGGCAACCAACAAAAAAGGGTAAACCATACTATAAAGACCCAACTCAACTTTTTTTTAGATTAGAAAACGATTTTTCATTTGAAGTAATAAAAGACGTCAAGTTCTATCTCTTGATGTCAACAAATACATAACACGATGAGTTTAATAAAACATAGGTATATCTCGAATTAGCACGGTTGCAAATTGGAACCACCTCATCGATAGTACATTTTTAACACAAGTATCCTGAAATAATTAGGGCAAAAATAAAAGAGTGTATTTTGCTTTTTAGCTTTTAAATACAATAAAAAATGGTGAAAAGTCCATAACTTTTAAATATTTGTTAAATATCACTTTAGAACTTGGTAGGTAGGTATATTTATTTATTAAATAACACACAAGAACTATAAAAATAAAAAAATAACAAAGTAAATAAAATCAGAACGTTTGCGTTGTCACGGTCACGCCTTTATTGTTCCATTTTTTAAATTTGAACTTGACTTCTTTCTAGGCTGATGGCGCTGCTGTGGCTGCGTTGCCGGTTTTAATAAAGTCATGGGTATGTTATCGGGTTACAACACTTAGGACCGATTCCACCGTTGTGTTAAACGAAGTTTAAAATGACATTTTTACATTAACAATGTCATTTTAATAATAATATAGTCAAATTATTAAAAAAATATATGTTATTACAATAAAACCCAATAACATTATTTTACCTGATTTTGTATAGGTACACTGGCAACGCAAATAATTTTGAAGCTATTAAGTAGTAGACTCTTTATTCACTTTTGAAATTCTCAAGTGTTCCAAATCTAGATTGTGACCATAATGTATATTTTGAAAGGTTACATATACAGCTTATTTTCACCATCTCTTAGCTTTATATTGCTGCGTTTGAGAATCCACATCGGATGCATTTTTTACATCTCGAGCGTTTTTTTATCCACATCGGACACATCTGTTCCATTACATTTACGTATACTGAATCACGTGATCAAAGATTTTTTACATCTCAGATGCATCCGATGTGGATTCTCAAACGCGGCAAAAGTCGTTACGTGTTTTTAGTTACCAAATCTAAACGATGATTTCTAGTAAGTTGGTATTTTAATTTAGTGTTGTGTGATAAAATAACGTACGTTGATGATGATATTTGACATTTTTTGAGACGTAAAATAAAAATTATACCAGTATATTCATCTTGTTTTTACAAATATAATTGTTTTTAATCTACAACACGATCAGAGTTTACTGCGAGATGCGCACAATAAAAAAAGAAAACAACTAGGAAGGAACAAATCTAAATACTCATTGAAGAAGTGACGTATCGCCTCCAATGTTTAATACATCTATTTCTCGCGGGCCATTTGTTGTGTGATTTGCTGGTCGTGTTGTAGAGTTTATTTAAAATAAGTATGATATATTAAAAAAACTACCGCCTATTCCAAAAGAATACAAAAAACAACTCAAGAACAGTTGAATTTGTCGGATTTGAAAGAGACATATCAAATTCGATACTGTCAGTCATGTTTTTTTTTGTTGATACATTTATCGGCTTCAACAACTCAGGACATTAGCTGCCATTAGCCTTGTTTTATGTGTAGGTTGCGGAGTACTAGTACTATAATAGGTACTTTCATAAATATAGGTTTCGTTACTGTTTCGCAATGCTACTTTAGGAACAGCACTGTTAATTAGAAACCAACAGTATATGGTCAAATGGGCAATCCTACCTGTGAATCAGAATTAATTTTTAAACAATTAAATTAGAAATTCCCTTACAAATTGTACTTGCTGTACTAGGTCGATAGCCATTTAGTTGTAAGGTTTATAGCAAAGTGGTTTTATGATTTAGAAAACATCCTGGCTCCCGGTGAAACCTAATAGGTATTTTAAAACAAAAGAGGGTGGAAAAGTCACTATAACGACACTTCATAATATTAACGACAGCTCTGTGGCTATCGTTGATGAACGACAATTTTGCATCCATATTTGTCTATCTTTAACGATAATCGTTATCTACTGAATAAGAAAAGTCGTCTGTGAACGATTATCGTCTATTAACGACGTCGTTCAGAGTTACTGAATAGGCCCCTTAGACCAGTTGAATGTTCCAAAATAATATCCACTCCAGGGATACAAATTCAGGATGCGCAGAAGACTGCTGATTGAATATAGGCGGTTAATAGAGGACTTCTATACAAGGGAAGTGCAACCAACTTGACAAAATAAAATTGACATTAATGACATAAGAAATCGGGTCACATAAAGAGGCTGTTTTTTAGTTTGCTTTTTGGTTTTTCCTATCTACTTTCATGCCATTTGCATACCTTGTGGTACCCGTAACGTGAAAAGGACTTTTTATTTTAGGGTATTTTACATTTAAAGGTTGAAACATTTTGTCATTGTCAGCTGTCAATTATGTTGATGATAGAACACAGGCGTAACCATAGATGGGCACAACGTAACTAGTATTGTATGTTGGTTGTATATTGTATAGAACTTGTATTCGTTGCAGCAGCATTTTACAATCGACATAAATAAGTAAAACCAAATGACAAAAAATGTTTCAAGAAAGCAGGGGAAACACAAATAGACTATTAAAAACAAAAAATAAAATGCAATGCTACGCTTATGTTTTGACATTATCGACAGCTAATATTGACAAATGTTTTCAACCTTTAAATGTAAAATACCCTAAAATAAAAAGTATTTTTTACGTTACGGGTACAACATGGTATCTAAACGGCATAAAAGTAGATAAGAAAAACCAAAAATTTAACAAAAAAACAGCCTCTTTATGTGACCCGATTTCTTATGCCATTAGTGTCAAAAAAATTTGTCAAGTTGGTTGCACTTCCCTTGTATAGAAGTCCTCTATTGGTTATGATTTGATTTTTGATTCTGTATGCGCCAGGGATACAAATCCGAGTTGCGCAATGTATAAACTGGAACATTGAGATCAAAAGTGCCGACGCAGAGTGAGCGAACTGATTCTTTAGCTATAAACTGTGGTAGTGTACTGATATCGAAAGCTTAAGAAGCTTTCGATATCAGAATTAAGAATCAAATTTTAAGAAAGACCTTTATTTGTAGTAAATTTAGAAAATTGATTTTTGCTGGGTTACAATGACAACCCAAATCATTTGTAAAAACGTTTTTTCATGACCAAAATTATTGTGGTAATTGTTTTTGTTAAAATATTAATATTGTTGGTATACTTCCAAAACATTCAACAAGATTTTGGGAAAAACTATTTTATGAACTATACACGGTTAATTATCTTTATGTCTCATTCTTTAATACTTTTTGACTCCAGCATTTACTACCCTTATATTATTTAATATTTTTGTTTGTTTTCCAGATAATAATCCATCCAAACTTCCACTCACCTTCTCTTCGCAACGACATCGCAATAATCATCCTTAAATCACCATTCAAACTCAGCGAAAACATCGGCTTAATATGTTTACCCTCCCAAGGCACTCAATTCGACATGCAACGCTGCGTAGCGGCAGGTTGGGGCAAAAATTCGCACCAAAAAGGCACCTACCAATCTACACTAAAAAAGGTCGATCTGCCCATCGTGCCGCGAAGCAAATGCCTCAAAACGCTGCAAGAAGTTAGGTTAGGCCCGTACTTTGATCTGCACAAGAGTTTTATTTGCGCTGGAGGCGAAGCTAATAAAGACACGTGCAAAGGCGATGGTGGAAGTCCTTTAATGTGCCCTATACTGGGTCGGCCTGGAAAGTACCATCAAGTTGGTATCGTGTCATGGGGTTTGACGTGCGGTCTTCAAGATACTCCGGGTGTTTATGTTAATGTGGGATTGTTTATTGAATGGATTGATATGGTGTTGAAGGTGCATGGGTTTGACCCGACCGTTTATAAATATCAAAGAAGAAGGAGGAGAAGTGTTTAGGTTAACTTTATATTAACCTACTTTGTATATAATTAAAATTAATGTAATTATTAAAAATGTTTATTATACTTAAATTTTGTTTTCATTTACACATCTAACCCACTCTCATATCTACAACCTTTGATCATATAAACATAAACACTAGATAGGTATGTTTAAAAATTTTGTTTGACTCATAATTTTTTACCATATTTTTTTGTACTTAGGTCGTTTTGAAGTAAACTTTTTTGCTAACCCTTTTTTAATTTTTATTTTACCCACCTATGTTTATAATAGAACAAACAACAATATCAATGGCCAAAGTGCAGTACCTCGTATCTGCACATTTTTACAATTTTAGGTTTTTAATGCTAACATTAGAAAATTCCTTAAAATATCCAGAATAATCCAATTACAGGTTTCAACAATATATTTATTAGCTCGTATGAAATTCTCTTATAAATAGAATTCAGTACCTCGTATACCGTCAGTCGCCATTGTTTTGTGCCGTTAAAAATTTTCTGTAAGTAACGCTCTTAGATTTTTACGTTTTGAGGGATAGTCTTTTAATATTTTGATGATTTTTTTGGTTTATAGTAGCCCTAAATAATATTGAGATTATAAAATCAAGTTTACTTTTATATTACCTTTAGATACTGATGCATAAAATTGAGTTTCAATTACAAAATTATTATACGAGGTCCTACACAACCACTTATTTGGAATTACATAAATTATACGAGGTACTGCACTTTTTTTTTATTCAGGTAAGTTTGCAATGGAATCCCGGGGGAAAAATACTAAAAATGGTAGTAAACACATCAAACGAACGAAGTATTGTACCCGAACCTCATCAATCAACATCAACAGAACTAGATTCCTTAAGGAGCGATTCCACCGTTGTGTTAAACGGAGATTAAAATGACATTGTTAATGTAAAAATGTCATTTTAAACTTCGTTTAACACAACGGTGGAATCGGTCCTAAGTCAACTAGAACTAATCTCTTTAAACCAAAATATAGGGGGGTTATGATTGACAACGGGGTCTATTCTGTAAAAATTCCTTTATATTTAACGGCCTTTAAAAATATTGGCGGCCTTTAAAAGTATATTTGTATTCGTTAATTTACTTCTGTCATTATTTAAACAGATTTCTTTAAGATAGTACTCTAATGTCTTTTAAAGATCCGTTTAAATAATGACAGAAGTAAAGAAGAAAATATTTTTAAAGGCCGTTAAATATAAAGGAATTGTTACAGAATAGACCCCATTCTGTGTTATTTTTAACAGGTTTGTTATTTTATAAACACACAGAAATAACAACCTGTCCATAAATAACGTGTCTCTTAAAAATAACATTATTTGTCCATCATATCCCAGATTGTAACGGAACCTGGTCAAACAGAATTAACAGGAATATATTGCTTAAGGACCGATTCCACCGTTGTGTTAAACGAAGTTTAAAATGACATTTTTACATTAACAATGTCATTTTAATATCCGTTTAACACAACGGTGGAATCGCTCCTAAGTCAGCTACCGCTAGTCGAATTAATCCAAAATGAACATAATATACCAAACATAGATGCAGATGGAACTAATCAAGCAAAAGAATTTAAAGTGAATAATGTAATGCTAATCGAACGAACTATATCCGCACAAACATCAATACAAGATGAAATAAATAAGCGACACAATAACCGTTTTAAAGCGATGAACCAGAAATTACTTTGGTTATACCCTTGGTTAACCTTGAAATCACGTGACTAACGCCCTTAAAAGATAACCGGTTATTGTAACGCATTAACGTTTAATCGTTTTTAAGGAATATGACATAAAAGTTTGACATTTAATTTCTAGGTTAATTTTATGAAACTGGTCGGAATAAAATTGTGTGATGTTGATATGTTACCAAAAAGAATTTTATTTGTGTCTGGATGATATGTTTTTTACATGGTGTCAGAAGAATGTTTTAATAATTGGCTGCGTTCATCCGCGCCATTTCAAGGAGCGCTACAAAAGTAGCGATCACTTACGCTACCTGATCGATCTTTATGCACGGATGAACCATGTTTAAAAGTGACATTTGATTGTGGTTTATTTATTTTACTTTTGAGTTGAATGTCTCTGGTTAAAGATTTGTTTGTTTATTTGTGGTTTGTTTATTTTTCAATTGCTAATATAACCCTACTATACTCTGTTTTTAAACTAAGAGGAGCGATTTGAATTTAAGTTGGCAATTCTGTAGCATTCTGATTGGTCAGATTACAGTCAGTTTCACACATTACTTTTTAGCATGAACATCAGCTAATAATTGATATTGTTGACAGTTCTGACATTTTATAATTTGATATCCATTAATTAGTTTTTTACTTTATTTCGTAAATAATAGTTCTTCAGTAAGCAATTGTATTGAAAATCTACAATTATGGATCCTTCTACACTGAGTACTATTAAAGGTAGCAATTTCTGAAAAGCCTTACAAGAAAGGGAAGACACCTTATTATTTTACATGCTGATTCTGAAGGTTTTGTAGAAAATGCATTACTGGTTTTTGAAGGTAAAAAGATGGGAGATTACCATGAAGAGATAAAAATAATTTTATAACTGATTTTTTAAAACTAAAAATTGATTTAAATGTAACTAAATATTTAAGCAAATTTTATTTACTAGAATAGAATAAAACTATTTACAAAATTGTTATAACATTTAAAACACCATCTACTACTTTAGGGATAATCTTAATTTGGCACAATGAGTTAACATTACTTTCACAAAAAATATTTTAAAAATACTTAAAATTAATACATAGGTATGTATGAATAGTTCACTTTAAAAAATATATGTTGACATGTAGTGTTATGAAAATGTTGGTTCCAGTTTTCAAAACAAATTCTGACTCATAGGCCTGTAACTTTTGAATGCCTTTATTTGCCCTCTAGCGCATTAACCATGGGTTAACACTAAATAAGCCATAATATCCACATAACTCATAGAAGAGATACCAGTTACTGTGTGATCCACTTGTCATTCACTGATTAACTTTTACTTTTTATACCTATAACAAATTATCCTTAAAAATGTAAACAGATCTTTATATTTTATACTAACCTGGCTACATCTGGATATTCCATTAACGATTTTCTTAAATATTTAATATCCATTTTAAAAAGATCATAGTTATTCTCAAAAAGTCGATTTCAAAAGCAAGAAAAAAGTATTTCTGACATCAATCAACAACCATATTGACTTTAATTTGACAGTGACATTTCGTTTTAGACACACATTTCAGATCACAATAATGTGAAATTTGCGACCGTTGTCTGGGACCAATTAAAATAGTACATTATATATACCTAGGGTGAGAAGTGAGCTATTATTTACCGAGCACTTTTATATCCTGAGGCGCGTAGCGCCGAGGGATATAATGTGCGAGGTAAATAATAGCTTTCTCAGCCGAGGTATATATAGAATTTTTTTTACTACTAACATTAATGTATTAGCAATTTTAATTTTGACATAAGTAATTTCCTAATAAGTGGTTAAATATTGCGAAATATCAAGCAGACTGGAGCGTGTTTCTAATCAGACTGGCTTTATTTATGTAAAAATTTGGCATGTGTCAAATTTTGGTATGATTCTAGGAAATATCCCATTGCATTTTTGATATTTTAATGACATGGATTTATTGTTATTAATTAATAATTTTTAAAGCCGGTGTTGAATTTCCTAGTTAATATATATTTTTACTGTTTACACTGATATATATTATCATATTTGATTTGATTAGATTTGATAAACCCAGCTTTAGTTATTTCCTACTTATTTTTCAAATATTTCAAAATATCAAGTAGTCTGGGAGTTTAGTTGTCAAATTAACAAAATGAAACTAATGAAATTTAGTTTCATTATTTACCTAGGTTTTTTTTTATTATCATTATTTACCTAGGGAGAGAAATATTACTTCTCATTAGAGGAATGGAGTAAATAATGGTGATTTCTCATGTTAGTAGTAAAAAAAATTACTTCTATGACATTTATTCGTTTCTTAACCGCTCATTCGCCGTTCGCCGACTAAGGCCGATAAAGATAATTATTTCATAAATTTTGAACACGACTATATTTCGAAACTCGCTCTTAGTAACAAATCTAGTTACTTTTCCCTGTGTAAATGCGTCTTTTCAATTCGCTCCTCCTAGTTTAAAAACAGAGTATAGTAACTATACTTTGTTTTTAAACTAGGAGGAGCGAATTTAAACGACCCATTTACACAGGGAAAAGTAACTAGATTTGTTACTAAGAGCGTGTTCCGAAATATAGTAGGGTTCAAAATTTATGAAATAGTTTTTATTATCGGCCCTAGTCGGCGAACGGCCAATGAGGAATTAAGAGCGAATAAATCTCATAGGAGGCGATTTTTTATTGGTCCCAAACAACGGTAGTAAATGTCACATTACTGTGATCTGAAACGTGTATCTAAAACGAACTGTCAAATGAAATTCAATATGACCCTTGATTTCTTTTTGAGAATAACAATGATCTTTTTAAAATGGAAATTGAATATTTAAGAAAATTTTTAACGGAATATCCTGATGCAGGTTAGTATAAAATATAAAAATATGGTCTGTTTACATTTTCAAGGATATATTTATTGTAGGTATAAACTGAAGTAAAAGTTAATTATTGGCTTGGACCCCTTCACCATATTATACTCTTTACTCTCAGTAAATGCCAACACAGTGACTGGAATTTCTCCTATGAGTAATATAGCTATTGTAGCTTATTTAGTTGATACGCTAAAGAGTAAATGAAGGCATTTAAAAGCTTACAGGCTATTGTGAGTCAGGATTTATTTTGAAAACTGGAACCATCATTTTCATAACATTACATGTCAATATTATATCAAAAACTGTTTAATAATATTGTAGTTCCTTTGAACTCTAGTTGTAATTTTTATATTTTTTAATTTAAAGTTATACTTACCCTATGTATTAATTTTAATTAGATATTTTTGTTGTTTGATTATTTGTTGTAGAAATATTGTTAGCTCATTATGCTAAATTAAGATTCTCTAATGTAGTAGTAGATGGTGGTGTTTTAAATGCTAAATCTCAGTTTTGTAAATAAAGTTTACTTGAATGTTTAGTTACATTTTAATCATTTTGGTAAGAAATTTATTAATTTTTAGTTTTAAAAAATCAGTAATAAAATTGTTAGTTTTTTTATTTCTAAAATACTTCGGAATCCATCTCTTCATGGTAATCTTTGCCTTCAAAAATCAATAATGCATCTACAAAACCTTCTTAGAAACCAGCATATAAAATAATAAGGCGTCTTCCCTTTCTTGTAGGGCTTTTCAGGAACTGCTACCGGTATAGAAGGACCCATAATCGTAGAAATTCAGAACAATTGCTTACTGAAGTTCTGAACAGGACTGTTATTAACAAAACAAATGTAAAAAACTAAGTAATAATGATGAGATATCAAAGGGGTAAAAGCAATAACAAAACTAAAAATTTGAACTGTCAATAATTGTCAGTAATTGCATTAGATGCGATGTTAATGCTAAAAAGTGATGTGTGAAACTGACTGCAATCTGACCAATCAGAAGTCTACAGAATTGCCAACTTAAATTCAAATCGCTCCTCCTAGTTAAAAAACAGAGTATAGTCACCAAGCAAACCGTGGACGTAAGTGCGTAAGACAGATCAGTGATCACCGATCAGCGTAAATAAAATGCGCTACTTTTAATGGCGGCCGCTCCTTGAGCGAAATGTCAAAATACACCGTTCATACGTGCCACTCGAGAGCGCTACCAAATCGATCAGGTAGCATGTGGCGCGGATGAACGCAGCCATTTACGTAGCTAATGTCATTTCCAATTTTGACTGAGCGAATTCTATAATCTAACCAAAAAACACTAATTGCATATCACTTCCACTTGTCATTATTAATTAATTAAAACGGTAAATACCGCAAATTACCGGTTGATCGTTTTAAAACGGTTTATGCACATACTTCGATTTATGTGGGTTTATGCCTTCTTGTTACCTATCTGATATCGACATACAAACTAAGGGTGAGATTACAGAATGTCTGCAACTTTGCAGATCTGCAAATAGGGCGGCAACTTTGCAGATCTGCAAATATGGCGGACTTACAGATGCAAGTATCAAGATTTCGTATTCCGAAAAATATATTCAAATTCGCAATATTTGTTATGGTTTATTACCCCCAACAACACTAAACGCAAACTAAGGAGGTTAGAACATCCTGAAGATTGTCAATTTTTACTTTACTGTTTCTTAATTATTTATTTATAAAAGATTTAGAAGGATTAATTTTAATATTTTTATTAACTTTATTAACACTTAGAAACCCATATCTTCTAGAAGACCCGTATAATTTTCTTCCTGTCTTCTGTTCCTTTTGATTGAATGCAGTTCGTGGTGTCAGATTATTGAGCTTTTAAACATAGTAATGGATTTGGGTTTAGTGGTGTTGGGGGTAATAAACCACAATAAATATTGCGAATTTGCAGATATTTTTTGGAATACTTACGAAAACTTGGTAGAATTAAAAGAACACAGCTACCACATCATTTGGCAAAGTAATTAATTGGTTATCGCCGCCTATTGGGGTTTAATGTAGTGTTAATATTATAGGAATATAGGAAATATTGTTTTACACCTAACAACAACTTACTTAATTTTGGTTTATTGAAAGTTATAGATAATATGCATTTGAAATTCGAAGTAATGCGGTTATGACATAGCTGTGTTCTTCTAATTGCAATCGGACCCTACTTGCATCTGTAAGTCCGCCATATTTGCAGATCTGAAAAGTTGCAGACGTTCTGTAATCTCACCCTAAATCCGCACAAACATCAATACAAGATGAACATAACTTTCAAATAAGCAAAACCATGCCTTCTTGTTATCTATTTGATATCGACATACAAAATGCAGAAATTGTTTTTCAAGAATACTTTTTTTAGACTCCAGTCAGACAGTAATAGCATCAGTGACTCAAAAAGTGAACATGATGATTACATCCCGACTGAATCAGATTTAGAATCTGGTTTGGAAAATGACGGCGCAAGCACAAGCAACGAAGAGGATTCCGATTCCGAAAATATAATTCCAATTACAACCCAAATTGATGACAACAAACGAAAGAGACCCCGAGAAGATGGTAACCAACGAGAATTAAATAAGAAAAGACGAATGCAAGGAGAGGAGTATGTGGGTTTTAGAAAGCCAAAAAATCAAAAGAAGACTTATAACGATATAAAAAAGCCAAAACGCATCCTTAAACCACGATGCGAATGTGGAGGTGAAAATAAATCTAACCGTAAATGTAAATTACTAAAAGAACACGATCGATTGGTTTTTTTTTTGAAAATTTCTGGAAAAGATCTCATGGGACCAACGAAAAGTTTTTATTTGCAACACAGTGACCATAAAAGAATTAACGCGTAGAACAGAGGATTGAAGAAGAAATAATACACTGGAATATAGCTTAACACTAAATCATGAAAAGATTCCCGTATTCAAAAGAATGTACTTAAATACTACTGGGCTTGGAGAATGGTCTGTTAAAAATTGGGTGTTCAAAGATAAAAATGGGATCGTTGAAAGAAGAGAAAGTGTCTTAGCGGGCAGAGAAACTAGATCAAACATCTATGAAGAGTATTCTGACTTTTTAAGAGAATTTTTAAATTCTCTAAACAAGTTACCAGCACACTATTACCGTAAGGACACTACCAAGCAGTACTTGGAACAAGATTTTCAACCACTGGCCCAGTTACATAAAAAATATAAAAATCAGTGTACGAAAAATGGCAAGGCATGTCTTTCTATTACTAAATTATCTTTTACGGTTAGAGTTAAACATCGGATTATTTAGACCTAGGAAAAATCGGTGTGACAATTGCTACAAATTCGAAAATGGCAATTTGAACGAAGAATCTTTCATAAAACACAGGAATGAGAAAGACAGGCTGTGAATCTGTGTCCTAACTTAAATGCCAGATCACTATATTATAAAGCAAAACTATGCTGCCACAACTACACGATCAATGATCTTGCAAAAAAAATAGGAACCTGCTATTGGTTTGATGAAACCAAAAGTGATTTACAAGCTTCCACATACATCTCTTGTTTGGTGGATTATTTAAAAGAAAATTATCTAGATAAAGATGATAAACGAGATATTATATTTTCAGATGGTTGCACTGCGCAAAACCGTAACCCCGTTTTATCTAATGCGCTACTTCATTTGGCTGAAACTTACAACGTAACTATATTCCAAAAATTTCTTGTTAAAGGCTATACCCAAATGGAGTGTGACAGTGTGCACACAACTATCGAAACTTCATTAAAAAATAGAAACATTTATTTACCAAGTGACTGTGCAAGAGTAACAAGAGAAGCAGAAAAGAAAAATCCGTACTTGGTAAAAACGCCCGACTTCGTTTTTTTTACAAACTATAATCATAAACCATTCATAAAATATGATTCAATTTGTCCTGGTAAGGTAACTTCCGATCCCTTAGTTTTCAATATAAGAGCTCTACGATATACGGAAAATGGCGAAATTCAATACAAAATCAATTTGGACGATGAATTTCAGCCACTTCCCCGAAGACCAAAGGTCATAAATTTATCTGGTAAAATTTTCCGAAGTTACATACCAGATTGCAAAAAATTATCAGAAAGAAATAAAGCAGGATTGCTGGCCTTTCTATGAATCACTTCAATATGAGTAAATAATTTTTACTAATAAATTGTTTGTATACGTAGGTACTTAAACAATGTTTCGTTTTGAATTATTTCGTAAATTAATATTTTATTTTCAAGAAAAAGAATTTATTTTTCATTTTGTCATTGTTTCTAAGTTTAGATCTATTTTTATAGTACCCACATATTATTTGTATCACTGTTTTTGTAGTAAATAATTTAAAAAAATAAAATATTTTTTTGTTGCAACAATAATTTATTATTCCTATTAAGGTATTACCTCATATAATTATTACTGTTAACTGCAGTACCTCGTATGTAACATATTACTGTTGGGAAGGTAAAATTTTATGAAATAACAATGGAATTTACAGGTATATTTACTAAAGTGGTAAAGACTAAAAAAATTTGTAAAAAGAGCACTTTAGTGGTTTTTGCTTCTTACTGCACAATTTCACAAAATAATGATACAAGGTATTGCACTTAGGCTATCGCGATATGCCGAATATCCTCGAGATGATGAAACAAAACATTTATTGTAGTCATCCGTGCCGCGTTTGAAAATCCACATCCGTGCATTTTTTACATATCGAGCGTTTGTTTATCCACATCTGACACATCTACATCTGCGTTTGTTTATCCCAGATGTAACTGTTCAGATTACATTTTTTACATCTCGAATTGAAATGAGATGTGAATGAGATGTTTGTTCCATGCCAAGTTTGTCAATTTATCCTTTGTTTATGCTAGCATCACAATCAAAGTATGTGGCTAGCATGAATATAAAAGTGATTAGTTTAATTTTTGTTTAGATTTCAAATTTAGGTTGATTTATAGTTTCAAAAGTAAAATTTAAAAAGTATAAACTTCTAACTTGTCATTGACATTTTATCACATGACCAATAAATTCTAGAGCGTTTGTTAATTAGGAAAAATCTGATGTGTCCAACACATGACTTTCCTATCTAGTTATTATAGGCTTTTTCCGGTTATTTTGTACAACCTATTGCAGGACCTCTATAAATATTTAGAGGATAAACTAAATATATACATTTTCCACATACATCTACCTTGAAACATTTTTCTACAGATATTCATTGAAAAAAAAAAAACTAAAAAATTTAAATTTAGCACTTTTCCTACAATTTTTCCATTACGGTCCATTTTAGAAAAATCATGTATAAACAAAAATTATAGAGATCGATATCGCAAACAACTTTTAGTTCAACAATTTTCATAAAAATCAGAATTTTGCACATTTTGTCAAATTTCTCGAATACGGACCGTTTCAGGAAATTCTGACATAAAGCAAAAATTATAGATAATAATATTAAAAGTAACTTTTATTTGATGAATTTTCTTCTCCAAACGTAAATAACAGATATATTCCATAAAATATAAAAATGACCACCCATAAAGTACCCCCCAGATGTCCCGACTCTGCCCAAAATCTAATTTGCTATTTTTCTTTGTATCGGTTCATGAGTTATGGTGGATACAGACACACACACACACACACACACACACACACACACACACACACACACACACACACACACACACACACACACACACACACACACACACACACACACACACACACACACACACACACACACACACACACACACACACACACACACACACACACACACACACACACACACACACACACACACACACACACACACACACACACACACACACACACACACACACACACACACACACACACACACACACACACACACACACACACACACACACACACACACACACACACACACACACACACACACACACACACACACACACACACACACACACACACACACACACACACACACACACACACACACACACACACACACACACACACACACACACACACACACACACACACACACACACACACACACACACACACACACACACACACACACACACACACACACACACACACACACACACACACACACACACACACACACACACACACACACACACACACACACACACACACACACACACACACACACACACACACACACACACACACACACACACACACACACACACACACACACACACACACACACACACACACACACACACACACACACACACACACACACACACACACACACACACACACACACACACACACACACACACACACACACACACACACACACACACACACACACACACACACACACACACACACACACACACACACACACACACACACACACACACACACACACACACACACCCCCCCACGCACACGCACACCCACACACACACACACACACACACACACACACACACACACACACACACACACACACACACACACACACACACACACACACACACACACACACACACACACACACCCACACACACACACACACCCACACACACACACACACACACACACACACACACACACACACACACACACACACACACACACACACACACACACACACACACACACACACACACACACACAGAGAAATCATCGCGAAAATAGTCAAAACGGATTCAGGGGACCTCAAAACGTAAAAATCTGTCGAAAACTCGAGGTCGCAAAAAATCATGATTACTATATATACTTTCCTTATATCTGTATACAGATAGGAAAGTAAAAAACTTGTGTTTTAAATGGTTTAAAATACAAAAGAAGAAGTGAAGTTACCTTTCACTCATTAATTTGTTTCTTACCAAAGGACATGTGCGTCGTTTTAGAGGAAAACAGGAAAATACAATTATTTTATTTAGTGTTCTAAAAGAGGAATTGGAAGAAACTTATTAATATTATTCAACCCCCTTAATTATACCATTTTCTTTTCAGATTTTTTTACGAATCAATATACAGGATTCATTCCCTTATAGAGCTTGAGTTTTACTAAAAATTTCATGTTTATATTGCTTTTGGTTTTTGATTTCTATTTTTTTTTATTTTATCCCCTCTTTAACCCCAATTTTATTCATATTTTTTTTTTCAAAATTAGTAGGATTCGCCATTTATACAGCTTAATTTTTGTTAAAAATTTCAAGTTGATATTATTTTTCATTTATTTTGAGTTAAATTTTTTTTAAATATTTCAACCCCTTAACCCCTCATTTTATTCAGATTTTATTCAGAATCAATATGCTTCATCTTCTTATACAGCTTTAATTTGTACTAAAAATGTCATGTTGATATCACTTTTTGTTTTTCTGATTTATTTTTTTTAATTTCAAAAAAGCCCATTTTTTATGAATTTTTTTTATTCAAAATGAGTAAACTTTGTCTCCTTATAGAGCTAAATTTTTGCTAAAAATTTCAAGTCGATATCATTTTTCATTTTTAAGTTAGAAATTTTTTTAATGTGTCAACCTCCCTTAACCACCCATTTTTATTGAGGTTTTTTTCAAAATCAATAAGGCTTCTTCCACTTATAGAGCTTGATTTTCCTAAAATTTTCAAATTGATATCGTTTCATAGACTATAGAGAAGAGCATATCTCATTTTTCCTTGACTCTGAAGTTTTTTTCATGACCAACATTGCACTAGTGTAAAAAGTCTTGCATATGTAGTCAGACTTTTGATATGATATTATGACTCTGACATCGAATATCAAAATATAAAGTATTGGTACATCCTAATACATATAGACATCTTTAATTTGTCAGCTATCACTTTTGACCATGGTTACCAGTCTAGTACAATTGTACTAGATCTAGTACATTCTCTAAGAATCTGGTTCTCTAGTACATTCCAAGCATTGTTCAGCATGTTACCATTTGATGCTTTGTGGATAAAATATTCTTGGCTTGGGATCTTCCTCCTTTGTTTTGTTTTCGTTCGCTATAAAGGTGTTTGTTTGCTCCTCAATGAACCAAACCACATCACAATTTAAAAACGTGGTACATAATAAAAATATATTCTGACAATACTGCTGGTTACCCATGGAACGGAACGATTATCAGAATTAATAATTGTATTTAAAATATTAAAAAAACAAGAATACGAAACCAGTCATTGGCCCCAGGAGTCTGTGCAGTTCAAAATTTGGGGCCCTAATAATCTACTGCATAGAATCCTGGTATCAATGACTGATTTCTGATTGTTGTTGGAACAGACCTATTAGGTATTTTAATCCAAAAATGTTAATTATCTACACCTATTCAATATCTTTATCTTTTTTCTTTTTCTTCTTTTTGGTCTTAGGTTTTTCATTTGGGATCATTTCTTGAACTTCATCATTTGAATTTTCTTCAGACTTCAAGTTTGGAGGATCGCATCTAAAACGAAGTGATTATAAAAACAAAAATATAATTAATGATAGTACTTACATTAATTTTCCTCTAATATATGGTAAAAACGATGACATATCAATCAACAGTATTTGAAAAGTGACTTCATCACCAATATTAACACCAGTTCCCACAGTACTGTCGTCATCTTCATTGTAAGTTGGAATGGAAACGTTAAAAGCCTCATAAACTAGTACACCAAGGTGGTCTTTACTTTTTCGATTAACTATGCCTTGCATTATTTTACCAATTTCTGGTTTAAACACAAAAAAGTCTACTTGGATATCGAAATGAATGTAGCAGGAGTCATTATGAATAGCACCGCCGTCTTGAAGTAGTTTCATATTTTGATAGCCTAATAATATTCCATTGCACCTAAAAATATAGATTCAAAATACCAAACCATGTCACCAGGTGAAAATTATTGTACACAAATCAACACTCTGTATTACAATAATAATACAGTTTTGTTTACTTACATGTTACTATATTTGGACAATTTTTCATTTAATAAATCTTTAACAGAGTCATTAAAATTCTTTAATTGGCAAGGATGTATGGCCAAATGTTGTATTACATTGCGAATAGCAACTCCCGATTGTTCAGTCTTTTTCAATTTATTCAATAACTTTTTGTTAAACTTAATGTTCTTTTTAACAAATTTGTCCATTTTGTGAAACCTGTAACTTCTATTCTTTTTTGGATTATAAGCAAAAGATTAGCTAAAAACTCACAAACTTGTTGAATACTTTAACATAACCTTATATTTGATTTATTTTTCTCAATGATGTCAATCATGTCAGATATAGATTGCTCGTTGCGATTCACACCGCATGCGGCCATATTGAATTGTAATATGCTAAAGGCCGATTCCACCACAAAGCACGTATCTTCTAGAGACCCCACGCCAATGTTAAACTTTTAAACCAAATTAGCCCCACCTTGTGTTTGGAGCTGGAACTAAAATGACAATTGACAGATGGCGATAAATTCAAATTGTAATTTTTAGGAGTAGGTAGTAGTTTTAAATTAATTTTAAAATTTCCACATAAATTATTTTATAAAATAAAGAATGGAACTAGTAGGTTCGAAACTTTTATTTTACAAAATAATTTTGGTCGATTATACCAAATTTGAGGAATTAATTTGTTATAAGCAGGGGTCTGATGTGGAGAGTTGGTTCTGCATATTATTATTAAATAAATATAAGATATATCAATAAATAATAAAATAGAACATTCTTAAAATATGTTTATTAATAACTTAAATAAATAATATTAGATAAAAATAAATACAAATAATTAATACATATTTAACGAATACTTACTTGCAGCAAATAGGTATACAATCTCAAATCTTTAAAATACCTATCAATAATTTAAATGTGAAGTAGAGACTAGGATATTACATTTTATTAACACTAAAATAATATATTTTATAAATGTCTTTTAAACCGAGGACAAATGTAATATAGGTATTGTATTAAAAGGTGAATCCTTTTAACTATTCATTCAATGATAAATAGGTATTTTCCTTCCAAATACAGATGGTGGTATTACTCCACTGCTTTGTGTATTACTCTCTTATGTGAAAAATGATTTCGAAATCTAGTCCAGTGATAAATTGATTATCAATTAGTTGTTATACCCGTTTGTCTTTTTATGATGCAGGTGCATGGTGAATCAATGAAGTTTTTCTCGAAGTTTTCAACGTAGCACCCACAGGTAGCACCAAAATTATTGCAAGACAGAGTAGGAAATAGAAAAACAAAACATCACAATTTTGCAACTATCTAAGACGAAACTATAAACAGAAACCAAAAGCCAAAGCCAACAAAAAATCACTAAAATCAGACGGAAAAATGAGATTAACCAAAAACATAAATAAATACACGTCACATCTTTGGAGTCTTTGGTTAAGTTTTTCTCCCATAAAGCTTAAAAATGGAGTAAGAAATCAGAATTTTACCAGTAGCCCCATCTAGAGTTTGGAGCAAATAGCATAAAAAATGTCAGTTGTCGGTTTTGACCTTGGTCATTCACGTGGAACCTCTATGTGGATTCCACTGTTGTGTTAAGGACCGATTCCACCGTTGTGTTAAACGGAGTTTAAAATGACATTGTGGAATTCGAGTGACTTAGAAGCAATCAAATATTCTTGTTGGTTAAGTATAACAACTAGTTGCTAAGACAGGAGTATGGACCTTTGAATAATAAATAAATCAAGAAATTAATAGCAGGTATGTTTATTGATAATATAAGGTTTGTTCCACATACTTTGATTTTCTTTTACTATACGGAGAATGCGGTCGCACTGCGCAGCTTTCTGAGTGCCTTTTAAAAGGAGATAGAAAACTCCGCCATTTTGAACCCTTATTACGTGTTGCCTACATATTGGCGCAATATTTTTAATAGGTGCGTTTTAATCATCCGCTTCTGCTTCGAAATTGTCAGTTTTCTTGTTTTAATCTGACAGGTTTAAAACGACTAAACCGACAATTCCGGAAGCAGAAGCGGATGATTAAAACGCACCTGATATTTTGCTTGCTGCTGTCAGTGTCAGTAAATATTATTTTTGAAGTCACAGTTTATTGCTAAAGAATCAGTTAGCTCACTCGGACCAGTTGAAAGTTCCAAAATAACATCCACTCCAGGTATACAAATTCAGGATACGCAGAAGACTGCTGTTTTATTATAGGCGGTTGTCATATATTGTATTATCCGAGTTGCACAGTGTATAAACTGAAACATTGAGATCCAAAGTGCCGACGCAGAGTGAGCGATCTGATTCTTTAGCTATAAACTGTGTCACAGGGTTCAAAATGGCCGCGCCCTATGTTGGGCGTGTCGGACCTCGTTCTTGCCTCGTATTATAGTAAATAGTAAATAATAACATAAAAAAATATCGCGACGAATTGAGAACCTCCTCCTTTTTTGAAGTCGGTTAAAAAGTGATTTCAGCTTTCAGACATGTCCGCGAAGGCGAACAATTATTAATTGCTACTCATTTAATTATTATGCGGTTTACAATATAAATACTAATATTAAAAAGCAAGATATTTTTCATTCATTCATCGTCATCTCTGCATGCACCTGGGTATGATTTTGGCACCCCATGAAATAAATGGAAAATTTGTAAATGAAAATGGTGATACCGATAAAAAAAATATTTGTTGATGTTGCCTGTAAAGCTAGCCAGGGCTCAAGATTGTATCCTAATAACGATGGGTAAATTTAAAATTATTTTACAAATTTTCAGGCCTACTGGAATTACCTAAACTGAGTGAAGAAATATTTTTTTAGAAACTTTTATTCTATGCTCCAAATTCATATCCACAGGTAATGTAAACAATATGAACATTTAAGATGAACTTTTTTAATCAGAATTAATTGTATATCCTAAATATCCGTTTCGTTTAATATTCATCAGATAGAGTTGTCCTAATAAATGGAGTGCCATGAAAGTTGTTAGAAATAAAATGACCCTTTCAAGGTAGGTATAAGTAAGTATGTGTATTTATCATAAAATTTAAAACATATCTAGTTAAGATTAAATATAGCTTAACATAAATATTTCTTTTAGGTAAAAAAACAACTGCCCGATCATTGACAGAATTTTTTTAATAATTGAAAGTGGATTTTTAACCATTCAAAATATCAATATTATGGGCAAATTTAATTAGGAATTGCAATGTTGAATGTGACAGAATGTGATTTCGTAGTTTATGCTCCATCATACAAGACGTTCCTAAAATGTAATTGCCCCATTAGACATTGAATTTCCTTAACTACTTCAGTTTCCTCCTTTTTCGGAAATTTGGAAAAGTGTTGTTTTGCAGATGTGTTTAAAAATATTGCCCTCAATGCAACACTCCCAGATGGCATATTTATCGAGGGAATATCACTTTTCAGCAAATGTTTTCTTTTTGTATCTGTAAAAATATTTATAATAAAATAGGTATTACAATTATAGGTATTAAGTGCCGATTCCACCGTTGTGTTATACGGAGATTAGAATGACATTGTTAATGTAAAAATGTCATTTTAAACTTCGTTTAACACAATGGTGGAATCGGTCCTAAGAAACATATTTTCTAAAAACTAAACTCACCTTTGTTATCCACCCAATATCTTTAGGGAAGGACCTCTTGGTGTAAAATGTGTTGCATACCCAGTACTGGCGACCCGTTCAAAGATTTATTTCAAGAGGTGACGTTTGTGACCGACCGACGACGAAAAGGGATACAACACGGATATGATCTTGCGGGAAGTGGCTACAGGACCGTCGATACGATTGCGATATAGAAGTGAGGTATTTTCTTTTTTACCCATGATTTGATGTGTGCCGTATTAATAGAAATTCAATTTCTGTTGATATGACATGCAGATTATAAAAAACATCGCCATACATTATCGTTTCGATGATGGTGGGTGAGGTTTTCCGGGTTTTCCTCATCTGTAAGTCAAATGGCACCATCAATCATCTTTAAGTCGCCCCGGAGCGCCACGGCAAATAATAATAATAGCCGTCCCTTTCCCCGGACAAGCTCAGCTTTTGGGGTTGAAATTCACTCGTAAGGGGGTGAATTAGGGAGAGTATTATTATTATTATTATTATTATAGATATCTCTAAAAATGGTAGCTCGAGCTGGGTCCAAAGCGGGACTACAAAGTGTAATACCGAGACAAAACCAGGAAGTACAATAATGTAATACAAGGTTTTTGGATTTTTACATTGTAAGGGGGGGGGGAGGATGGAGGGTGATTGTTTGTATGGGAGTATATATATGCATTTAACAACGGGTATGACCCGGACATAATCCAATCTCTAATCACCAAAATTAAGTTCAAGAAAATTCAAAAATTAGCCTACCCCAATTTGAGTCATATTAATAATTTTTACATATCAATCCCCTTCTGGGAAAATAACTTATTAGCTAAGAGTATTTCAAAAAGTTTTGCTAAAAACGTAGATAACATCAAAGTATCTTTTAAATCAATTAATAAACTAGACTCTCATCTAGTCAATACAAAAGACAAAACGAATTTGTTAGATAAGAGTGGAGTATACAGGTTGCAATGCAGCGATTGCGATGCCAGTTATATCGGCAGAACTTGGTAGATCTCTGGGAGTCCGGATAGGCGAGCACAACAAGAAGCCGGACACATCTGCATTTAACTTCCAGAGTGAATTTTATATTGGGATGAATAGTATTGATTGAGTTTAAAATATTAGAAGCCGTGTTGGCGTTACCATTCATTAGGCAAAAAATGTCATCCACGTATCTGTGGTAGATTAAAATATTTTTATGTTGTGGAATAATGTAACTAGTTTCTAAATGATTCATAAAGATATCAGCGATTAAAGGGGATAGGCCACATCCCATAGCAAGGCCATCCGGTTGTTCGTAGGTGATATTGTTGAAAGTAAAGAAATTTTTTTGGTTGCAATGCAGCGATTGCGATGCCAGTTATATCGGCAGAACTTGTAGATCTCTGGGAGTCCGGATAGGCGAGCACATCAAGAAGCCGGACACATCTGCATTCGGACATTACTTGAGGTTCAATCAACATAATTTTAGCCCAACAAAAAACTCCAAATTATTAGTTAACTTAAACACAAAAAACTTCAATTTATTAGATTTTCATGAAGATGTTGAAATTACTCTTGAAAGAGACAACAATATCCTCTGTCTCATCACTCAAGTGAACCTTAACAGACATTTTATACCACTCCATAGACAACTTAACTAACCCTCTATGATGATGTAGGTCCGAGTCGCTCAATACAAGCCTTTGAGAGCCATCCCCCCTAAACTCTATTTCACCCATCAGAGCCTACCTTTGGGACCATGGTACTCTTTTGTTTAAAACTTTTTTGTTCTTTGTTTTGTCTCTTTCAACCATGAGTACGCTTGATGAGTGATTTAGTAATTTTTAAGACTAAACATCAGATTCACCTCTAGGGACCGCGGGTTCAGTTGTGCCATCTTGGGAAAAAAGTTCTGCAGATCCCGAGATGGCACATCAGAACCACGCGAGTGACATTTTTGTTTTGTCTTGACATTAAAAGGATCATTAAAAATAATAACACCATTTCATATTAAATATTTATTTAAATTTAACTAACAATAAATCAAATCTTTAAATTCAATACGAATAAATTTTGATCTCCGTTAACCACCTCCAATCACTCGAATCACACTTGGAGAAACATGTTCCACACTGAGGTGAACGCACCTCCTCTCTTGACATTTGACAAGTCAACGTCTTTAAGTGTCGCTTGTCAGCACTGTCATGTGGAAACGGTTAAAAAAATTGAATAAAAATAAAAATGAATAGATAAAGAAATTTAAATTTGAAAATATTAATAATACTAATAATATGATTTAGCAAGTTGTAAATATCCCGAAATATCTAAATTGTTGGATACATTGTGGACAGTAGGTAGAATTTTTTTATAATTATAATGTATATACACATAAAAAAAAACCTTCAGTTTTTTACTTTGGCCTTCTGCGTTTAACTTTCTTCATATTAACTATTGTATTCTAGATTCAAATTTCGGTTCTGGTAAAGGATCCTGAGGTGCGAATTTCATAATTTTAGCATTAATATATTGAAGTAACTTACTTTTTATGATATTTTAACTGAAATTAAATATGGAAGGATACGTTTCATTTGCTATTTTTATTTATAATATAATAAAATGCAATATTTGGACTGATTTAACCTAACTTTTAATCATTTCCTTCCATAAAACCTAAAATAAAGTGATTCCATGAAATTGTCAGTTCTTGACACATAGGGTCCTCGAGTTTGCAACGTTGCCATACTATATTGATTTTTAACACTGATAATTTCCAAGTTTACGATTTCTGTTTGAATGAGAAGAAATAAGTTATAGGTTTTGTTTTGGGTGAAAGAAAATTTAAAAAAAGTTGTCTAGGTATTAGGTACATGTTAAGTGATTTAATTAATTTTTAATTTTGTATGTAGTTTTTTTTGAGCTGCATTCTTAAAATTAATTTGGTTGATATATTATTTTTTTCATTTGATATACGAATATTACCGTACTTATCTTTTTGAAGCAAACGAAAAATGTATGATTTTGGATTATAATGTGTTATGTGAGACTTTTCATTTCAATTTGAGCTGTGTCCAGGCCGTTGGAATCTATGCCGGTAGGCGTAGCCAGGTATGGATTAAAATTTTTTGGTGGCGGCGAAGCCGCCACGCTACCGGAAGTCGTTGTTTCGTTTTGAGTGAAAGAAAATTTAAAAAAAGTTGTCTATGTATTACATGTTGAGTGATTTAATTAATTTCACTTTTTAATTTTGTATATAGTATTGAGCTGCATTTTTAAAATTAATTTGGTTGATATATTAATTTTTGCTTTTTATATACGATTATTACCGTACTTATCTTTTTAAACCAAACGAAAAATTTATGATTATAAATTTAAATAATCCTTAAACTTATAATTTTATTAACAACTTGGCAACGTTTGTTATTTTTAAGACAGAAACGTCAGGAACTGTCATTTAGAGTTATTAGGCATTCCAAACAAATGAATTACCAGTGGGCAGGTTTGGTATATCTAAGGGTGGCGACATATGGTGTATTCTAGCTACTTTACGTAAAATCATGAATAATGGATTACATTTAAATATTTTATATCAAACACAATAAAAATAATATTTAAAAAACCCACCTATACATTTCTTCATAAATTGGCAGGCTTGGCGAGTACTACTTCGAATAAAAATAGCGTCCAAGTTGCAAGACTATGTCGTTACCCCCTTAAATATACAAGAATTTCCCACTGGCACCTATTATTTGACAGGTCGTTGGAATGCCTAATTGTTTTGTGATTATAACCTGTAAAATTGGGATTTTTAATTCAATTTTTTTCGAAAAGTACTGCTTCATCCATAAATTTTTTTTCGAAAATTTACTATAGAAACTAGTTACTTTTGAGTGTTTAAAAATTTTTTGTGAATTTCGCACCTCAGGATCCTTTACCGGACCCCAAATTTCAATATATATTTTCCACAGTCACCCTCTATTTGTAAATTTCTTTAAATTTTAACTAATTTGTTAACTTGTTTTCAATTGTGCGAATGGTGAAGGTGGTATAATTCCTTATTTCCACACAAGCTAACTTGCTTCTGGAGATCAGATATGATTTTTAAGGGCTTATCCCACACTCACTATTCCCAATACTGGATTTTTGTCACTTTGTATCTTTTAATTGTTAATTTGTTCAAACAACCGTATATATACAATTTCAACTCTTGACTTAAAAGTCTTAATCGGATTTATATTTTTTAAATTGTAAGTTTACATCCACAATTTTTGTAGATAAGCACTGATGATGGCTAATAAGCCGAAAGCGCTTTGTATTTATTAATTAAAAAGTTTTGCACGAAATAAAAGTCCTTTCTTTGGAAATAAAAATAAATAAAAATAAATAACAATAAATAAAAATAAATAAAAATAAATAAAAATAAATAAAATAAATAAAAATAAATAAAAATAAATAAAAATAAATAAAAATAAATAAAAATAAATAAAAATAAATAAAAATAAATAAAAATAAATAAAAATAAATAAAAATAAATAAATAAATAAAAATAAATAAAAATAAATAAAAATAAATAAAAATAAATAAAAATAAATAAAAATAAATAAAAATAAATAAAAATAAATAAAAATAAATAAAAATAAATAAAAATAAATAAAAATAAATAAAAATAAATAAAAATAAATAAAAATAAATAAAAATAAATAAAAATAAATAAAAATAAATAAAAATAAATAAAAATAAATAAAAATAAATAAAAATAAATAAAAATAAATAAAAATAAATAAAAATAAATAAAAATAAATAAAAATAAATAAAAATAAATAAAAATAAATAAAAATAAATAAAAATAAATAAAAATAAATAAAAATAAATAAAAATAAATAAAAATAAATAAAAATAAATAAAAATAAATAAAAATAAATAAAAATAAATAAAAGTAAATAAAAATGAATAAAAATAAATAAAAATAAATAAAAATAAATAAAAATAAATAAAAATAAATAAAAATAAATAAAAATAAATAAAAATAAATAAAAATAAATAAAAATAAATAAAAATAAATAAAAATAAATAAAAATGAATAGTACAAATAATTAAAAACAAATAAGTGAAATTATGGTACGAAAAATATGAGGTTACTCTACTTAACTCTAATCTATAATACCCGAAAAAACAAATTATCCCTCATTTTTTAGGAAAAATCATGCATTTTTACTTTCCTATCTGTATACAGATATATATAAGGAAAGTATAGGAATCATGATTTTTTTCGACCTCGAGTTTTCGATGGATTTTTACGTTTTGAGGTCCCCTGAATCCGTTTTGACTATTTTCGCGATGATGTCTGTGTATGTGTGTGTGTCTGTGTGTCGCATAACTCATGAACCGATACACATAAAAACACCAAATTTCAAACTTAAGCTTTGTTTCAGCGTCCAATATGCTGATTAGATTTTGGGCAGTGTCGGAACATCTGGGGGGTACTTTATTTGTGGTCATTTTTATATTTTATGGAATATATCTGTTATTTACGTTTGTGGAAGAAAATTCTTCAAATAAAAGTTACTTCTTATATTATTATCTAAAATTTTTGTTCTATACAAAATTTTTCTAAAATGGTCCGTATTTGAGAAATTTGACAAAATGTAAAAAAATATTTTTTTATAAAAATTGTTCAAACAAAAGTTGTTTGTAATATAATTCTCTATAATTTTTATTATTTACATAATTTCTCTAAAATGGACCGTATTCGAGATATTTGAGAAAATGTGTAAATTTCGAAATTTGAAGAAAACTCAAAAACCGATGAAGAAAAAAAGATTAAATTTTAAACTTAAGTTTTATTTCGGCCTCAAGTGAAATGATTAGATTTTGGACAAATTCGGAACATTTGGGGGGTACTTTATGGGGGGCCGTTTTTATATTTTATGGAATATATCTGTTGTTTATGTTTGGAGAAAAAAATTGTTCAAATAAAAGTTATTTCTAATATTATTATCTATAATTTTTGCCATATGTCAAAATTTCCTGAAATGGTCCGTATTCGAGGCTTAACATGACAAAATGTGCAAAATTCTGATTTTTATGAAAATTCTTGAAATAAAAGTTGTTTGCGATATCGATCTCTATAATTTTTGTTTATCTATTATTTTTCTAAAATGGACCGTAATGGAAAAATTGTAGGAAAAGTGCTAAATTTAAATTTTTCAGTATTTTCATTTTCAATGAATATCTATAGAAAAATGTTTCGAGGTAGATGTATGTGGAAAATGTATATATTTATTTTATCCTCTAAACATTTATGGAGGTGCTGCAATAGGTTGTACAAAATAATCGGAAAAAGCATGTAATAACTAGATAGGAAAGTCATGTGTTGGACACATCAGATTTTTTATATTAAAAACACAATTCCACGCGTGGGAAGCCGCGGTCAACAGCTTAATTTACGATAACAATCTACTTTAAAGTGTAAAAGTAAAAGACAAAACAATGATGAATAAAAGTAGATATTTTTTCTTTATTGATGACAGGCATTATATTTTTACATTATTATAGATTATTTTATTTATTGCACTAATGTTTATTCAATGTAAATATCTTCAACTGGATAAGCAGTCTCGATAAACTTCTGGTAGAACCTTTGAAAGGCACGACTGAAATAAAAATAACATCATTATTTAAATGTCAATTTGTTAGGGTCAATTCGACCCTTGTGTTAAACAAATTTCAAATTACTTAACGAACATTAAAATGATATTATTAATGTAAAAATGTAATTTTAATATTTGTAAAGTAATTTAAACTTTGTTAAACACAACTGTAGAATTGGCCCTTAGAAGAATAACATAAGTTTTTTTTCAAATCCTTCTCATGTTAATATAGTATATTATGCAACGATCATGTACATGACACTTGCATACGCTATTTTTTCTACACCCGATAAATAATCAATAACTGTAATTTACTCGTATGTCTATAAAAAAAATGTACAAAATTGTAATTAATGGTATTACCTCGGGTATTGGTATTACCATAGATTTTTGGGACAAAATATTTTGTACTGAATTTTCTGCTTGCTCCGATATGTGTGGAGGAGTCGATGGTAAGTCTTCTATATCGCTGATATCAGATATTTTGATAATATAATTATCGAAGTTTAGCTATCTAAAGGCATTTTTTCTTTACCTATAAGCTTACCATAATTTACTTGAACATACTTATGTTTGCCAGAGCATTTGATTAGTGGTAATTCTATATGTTAATATGTTAAAATTTAATGGACGTTAAAAATATAACGTATGTTAAATATGAAAAGCAATTCTGTAAATTCATGAAAAATTTTAACTTGTCACAATTAACATAATAGTTCATTTGTGCCGCAAAAATATATTTTATAAACAGAAATATATCAAACATTTAACATAAGTATATGTGTTAATTTTATGCGTTAAATCGAGGATATTAACAGGTACTAATTAGTAGGCTTTAAAACTTAACTTAAGAAATTATGACTTTTGATTGTTTAATTAAACTTACAATGGAAGAAAGTCATGAAAATGAACCATTTTGAAAGTACTAAAATAAACAATAATTTATTCATTTTAACAACCACATAAATATCTTAAAATTGCATAAAAGAATGGTTTAAATAAAAGTATGTATACCCTATAAACCATGAGACTACGCCTATGAGCACAGTTGATCGCAGACGCACTTACCATGTTTGTTTACAAATTTAAAACATTAAAAATCTTTAATGTGGTTGAAAATTGAGAGAACAAAATACTTGCTTATGAAATGTACATTATTCCTTTCAACTTTTAGCTGTGCTGCTATATCCACAAGACGAACAACTGACCATATTGTCTTGTTTGTCTTTTAACGCGGAAAATTTAAAATTAACAGTAATACTAAATAAATACTAAAACACTAAACACTTTTTAAAAATGTCTACAAAACATACGCTTGATAAAAGTTTAAATTAACACATAAAACATCCAAATTATTAACAAATTTTAATCACTAAAATTATAAACCAATTTTAGAAACCATTTGTCATATGATGATGAGTCATCCACAGTACAACATGGCTACCACTTCCATCAGATCGATTAGATTAACGCGGACATGGCATGCTCCTTTCTGACTATATATATATGTTCTAAGGTTGAACCTGCTGACCGGCATTGTGCAATGTGCATTTGTGCATTCATCATTTCACTCTTGATTCAGACAGTTTTTACTAATATAAACCCTTGTTAATTTATTACATTTATTGTTCAATGTTCTTTTGAGTTATTTTTCATTAAAAAATTAAAGTACACAGCATTGTTTAAGTTATTAACAGTGTAACACCAAGAAAGAGGAAATAAAAAAACACCAAATAGATTATAAAGTACATTCAACCTCTACTCTTTTTAATATTCTTGTGCAAAAACAGACAAAAACAATATGACAAAAGGAATGACATTTATTTGGCAGACCTTAAAACTTAACCATACTTCTATTGCAAATTTGAACTACTTTTAATTGTGTTAATTTATCTGAAAATTTAACGTATGCATTAATTTTATTTTTACAGAATTACAATTTATGTTAAAATCGTAAAATTCAACATCCGTTAAAATAAACGATTACTCTGATGACGTCACATGTTACCAAAGCATATGTACCTACATCTAACGAGGCATTTCTTTATAAGCTTACTAGAACATACTATAATAAAAAATAACAAAATCAGAACATCCTAAAATTTCTAAAATTCAAATTCCGTTTAAAAATCCCCAAAATTAAATTAAATTTGACGTATGACATTCAATAATAGGATTACCACGGTACGTGTGACGTCACCACAGTAACCACAATACTGTTACCAAGTATGTTGTAGTAAGCTTACAAAGAATGCCTTAAAAGTATGGTTCAGAAGAAAGAGACAATTTATACAGATGAAACTTAATTTCTATAGCTCGCACACTATTACTCCATCTATCTGGATAAATATTAAGAAATAACCCGAGGAAACTTAAAAATAGGTTGGAAAATGGTTGTAAGAAGTATTTATGTGCAACAAATTGGAACATATGGTTGTAAGAAGTACTTCTTTACTAACCTATTTGAAAATAAATTCTAATTTCTAATGATTGACTTACCCAACAGCTTCGGCAACAGGTCTAGTCGAATCTTGGCCTCTAAAGACGTGGCAAGCAAACCTCTGTAACGTCGGGTGCTTTGTGATAAAACCTAAATAGCGATGATCTCGGGGATGAAATGCACAAAACGAAACGTTTTTTAACGAATAAAAGTAGTCTATACACGGATCGTTTTGCTAAAACAGACAAATAAATAATTGTAACCTCACACTTCTTATAAAAACATGTTTTACTGATAAACATAATGGGCATTTTTAACTCATTTGGTACTTTACAACTAGGGATATATCTTAATAAATATCGAATTATGGTGAAATATATTTAGTTGAGTTGGGTGTCACAACAGGCCAATCCCTAACATCTTATTACGACTTTTATTTCAGAAAATAGGGCCCGTAAAGTAAAACATTGGAAAAATTACTTTAATAGGTTAAAAAAAAATGTAATGTAAGTAAATTATGTCATTTCATAGCTCCTACAAAAGTAAAAAATATATAATTATACCTACATTTTATATGCAACAGGTTCTACTAATCTATGTCAAATAAGAACTTTACACCCCCTCTTTCATGGTAAAATAAAAATAGTTGAGATTCACTACTAGTGTGCAACAAGAAAACGTGACAATGCAAGTTAACAACTTGTCATTTAAATTTTAGATTCAGCATGAAATTCTGTAAACAATGATACCCCATTCGCCAATTCTAATTATAGTGTATTTGGCGTTATTCAGTTTTTTATAAACTTTTATATGCCGGCAGATATTTGCTTTTTTAAATTTACTTGTTCATCGTTTGTTCGACTGTGTGTTTGGAAATTATTTTAAAAAATAAATATTTTAAACATGACAAATTTTTTTATTTTAAATGGAAAATCCTGTATATTTTTATTTCATTTTGTTCAGAAAATTATTCTTCATTGATCTTCATTTGCACTATTAATTCCCTATAATTATCTCTCGCCAATTTTAAGAAAATTTAAATTTAAATTTTACGCATGCACCTACATAATATAGTATAGTTTTACATTTTAATTTTTTATCTTAGTATGCCGTGGAAATATGCTAAACAACAATCTGTCAACAAACTGAATTGTCATATTTCTATGTATTTAAGTTGTGTATTTTTTGCGTTCAAAATATGGAAAATATGGAAAATATTGAAGAATATACCAACCAAGATATTCTTAATTTATTTTACATTCATGGAGAATGTAATCGAATCAAAAGTAGAACCTGCCGCATGTTTAATGAACGATACCCTCATTTACCACCAATGAACAGACAGAAATTTGATAGAATCGAAGCTAACTTTTTGAATAATTTTAAACAAAACCCGGGAAGAAACCGTCAAAATTATGTCCGAGATGAAGAAGTTAATCTAATTAACGTATTAGGGTATTTTACTGCGTATCCTCACGCCTCCATTAGAATGGCTCAAGATAATTTAAATATTAGTAGAGGGTCAATACAACGAATTTTAGCACTAAATAAATGGCATCCCTATGCACAAAGAAAAGTTCATGAGTTGCGAGATGGTGATCAAATAAGACGAACTGAATTATGCGAATGGTTATTGGTACGAATTCAAGAAGATCCCGAGATTTTAACCAAAATTTTGTGGTCAGACGAGTCGAAATTTACACGTAAAGGGATCATCAATCGCAAGCAATGTCATTTCTGGGCAAACGAAAATCCACATTTTTATCGTGAAGCACAATTTCAGTACGAATTTAGTTTTAATGTGTTTGCAGTGATCGGTTTTGGAAGAGCTTTTTATTACATTTATAATGAAAGACTGACCTCAGAAAGATACATTAGAATTCTTAGAGAAGTAGTTGCCGACATTTTAAACCAGCTACCAAATAATAATTTTTGGTACCAGTTGGATGGTGCCCCAGCACATTCAACATACTATGTAAATCAAGAAATTACAGCACTCTTTGAAGACCGATGGATAGGTCCAAATGGTCCTTGGCTTTGGCCTGCAAGATCGCCAGATCTAACTCCTGTTGATTTTTTTATGGGGTCATATTAAAAATTTAGTGTACTCTACCCAAATTAATACTAAAGAAGAATTAGAGCAAAGAGTTCGGAATGCCTTTAACGAGTTAGATGGTGAAATGATTCGTAAAGCAACAACTAATCATGTTGAAAAAAGATTGTTAAAATGTTTAGAAGCTAACGGGGGGCATTTTGAACATTTGATAAAATGATTTTTTTAAACCATGTGCTTTTAATAAAAATTGTTTTTAGTTAGTATGTACCTTATCATTAAAAAAATTTAAACTTTTTAAACGACATATTTTGTTGCAGAAAACTGTAAATGTTTTTAAAAGTACATCCCATCTACTACTTCTGGATAAAATTTCAAGTATCCAACAGAAATAGTACCTGAGACAGTCGACTTTAAGAAAATGCCTACCGGCGCGACGACTAAAAATTAAAAAAAAATGAATAACGCCAAATCCGCTATAATTAGAATAGGCAAATATGGTATCATTGTTTACAGAATTTCATGCTGAATCCTAAATTTAAAAAATATATAGGGTGTTCCCTTTAAAATAAAAAAGTTTTTTATGTTTAAAAAATTTCATTTTTAAAAATAATTTGCAAACACCCCGTACAACAAATAATGAATAACTAAATATTCTCAAGAAGTACATCCCATCTACTACCTCTGGTTAAAATTTTAAGTATCTGATAGATATAGTACCTGAGATAGACGACTTTAAGAAAATGTCTACCGGCGACTAAAAATGTAGAAAAAAATTGAATAACGCCAAATCCGCTATAACTAGAATAGGCAAATGGGGTATCGTTGTTTACAGAATTTCATGCTGAATCTAAAATTAAAAAAAAAATATCGGGTATTCCCATAAAATAACGAAGTTAGTGGTCACTTCCGGTATAACCGGAAGTTGCACAGAGTTCATTTTATTTTAATTCAAAAGAGCATATTCGATTATGTATACTCAGAAAATGGCGAAAATAAAAATTAATTTATTCTCCATAAAGTTATAATGCCCGCCTTACGTGGGACACGGTGTATAAACAAACAACTATAAATTAGTCAATTTCATTTGCTTCTAACCCTTCGTCAGATGAAACACATTCAAAATACGGTTTTAAATGTTTTATGTGCCACATACCGGCATTAGTACCATTTTCTTTCTCCATAATTTCAATATTTTACCTATTACATTACACCGTGGAGCTAGTTGCTTAGCAAAATCATTTGCTGCATCTGATAAAACTATATTCTTTTTCCACACATAATCTCCAATATGGAATTCTTTTCTCTCCTTCTTAAATTGTAATATTTTTTATTTGTTATGTGAGCATTGTGCAACCTTTTCTCGACTTGTTTATAAATATCCCTGAGTTTTAGTACTAGGAAATTTTTCATAGTATTCTCCATTACACGGAACAATTCTACCGAAATTTAAAAAGGCTGGACTGTAAACCCGTTACTTCATGAACACTGGTCCTCAAAGCGTAACTTATTTTCGCAAGTTCTTTATTCCAGGTTTTATGATTTTCTGAAATGTAACATCTGATTATACTGCAAATCGTTCGATTCCATCTTTCGAGGAAATTCGCAGATGGATGGTAAAATGGGGCATAAGAAAACCTAGAACCATAATCTGATACCAACTTTTTTATTGATTTGCTAACTAACTTATCACAAATTATATTTTGTGGTACTCCATAGACTAAAAATATATCTTTTTCTAAATGTTTCACTATATTTGGAGTCTAAGCATTTCGAAGAGGGAACAACACTGGGTATTTTGTGAACCAATCACTGATTACCAACAAGTGTTGATTACTATTCGATGTCCTAGGTAAAGGACCTAATAAATCCAGGGCTATGGAAAACGCACTATTTTCTCAGTACCAAATTTTGCATAATTTGTAGGCTTTTATGCAGCATATTCCCTGAATTTTCTAACATATTTATTAAGATCTTGCCGCATTTTCGGCCAATAATATGTTAATGCTACCCGCGAATAGGTTTACCTAAAGCCTGCATGTGACGCCGTAGGGTCGTCATGACAAGACTCCAAAATCTTTTGTCTTTGATCCTTTGGTACTAAAAGCTTCCAATATGATATATTTGTATTTAATGGAACTTAGTAGGTATCAATTTATATACATAATTTTCTTTAACTAACCATTGAGGAAAGTTATCAGGATTTTCTAAAATCCTGTGTCTCATTCTTTTATTGAATTAATCTAAATTCGTTAATTCAATATCTAGTGTTATTATATTTTCTGAACATGAAATAGGCAAAATTTCATTATCCTGGTTGGTTCATCTACCGGGTTTCTACTTAGAGCGTCTGGAACTACCATATATTTACCACTCCTATGTACAATGTCAAACTCAAATTGACATTACAACTCCGACAGGCCAATCTTCCAGAGGGTTCTTACATTTTAAATAAAAATTTTAATGCTGCATTATCCGTAATTATGGTGAACTTTACTCCTTCAATATAAGCCCTAAATTTCTCACAATCCAGAATACATGCCAGGCATTCTTTTTCAGTAGTTGCATAATTTTTCTCTGCCTTACTTAAACCTCTAGACGCGAATGATATAACTTGTTCTGTATTATTTTGGAATTGAGTCAAAATTGCACCAAACATCACACTGTATTACTAGCAACAAAATGGTAAAGAAAAATTAGCTGGTGAGCATAAAATCGGTGCAGAAATTAATGACTCCTTTATTTCTCTAAATGCTAAATCTGCTTCTAAAACTCAGTTATTTTTTTGCCCTTTTTTTCTACTACCTATGTAATAAATTATTTATAGGACACATTATGCTTAAAAAAACGTCTGTACCAACTACTCATCCCTGCAAAACGTTTAATTTCGCAGTTTTTGGGGCTGGATAGTTAACAATAGCACTGAACTTTTCTGGGTTTGTTCTTAAACCAAATTGATCTACCACGTACCCAAATATTTTAAAGAGGGTTTAAAAAATTCACACTTTTCTATATTTATAGTTAGGTTAGCGTCTTTAAGACGGCGTTTAACTTCTCTTAGGATGTCTATATGTTCATTGAAAGTTGAAAAACTATTATTAAATCGTCGATATAGACAAAAACGTTGGGTTCTAGTTCAGGACCAAAGGGAGAGTCAATTAACCTTTGCTGGCACTGAGCTACATTGGCTAAACCGAATGGTAATACTTTAAATTGAAATAGACCTCGGCCTGGAATCGAAAATGCCGTTTTTTCTTTTGATGAATTTTCTAAAGGTATTTGCTAAAAAGCTGATTTTAAGTCTACTGATGAAATAAAATGAGCATTGACAAGACCAACTAATGCTTGATTTTTCCACAACATCTAATTCTAAGGTTTTATATAATTCTGCATTAAGTTGTTTTATCATGTATGAAGGCAAAAGATATTGTCTTTGCTTTGTCGGCTGAGCCTTCCCCGTATCTATATATTAAAGTAGTTTTAAAGTTCTACCTAATTTATCTGACCCTGAGATTTCTGTAAATTCAGAAATAACTGTATCTACCACCCTTTTGTGTTTATAGGTTATAGGTTTATTTGACAAACGGTTTCCTAGATTTTATATTTTATCAAAGTTCCTCATCATAATCGCTATCCTAAAAATTAGTTTCTAACTTTCTAACTAATAAGTTCCACTTTGTAACTATATTAACCTCTTTTAATTGCCTAAACCAAAGTAAAACTTTGCCTGTGAATAAGTCTACGGCTTAGTCATATAATGTTCTTTTATCTAGATGTCTAGGTTCTGAAAGCTCAACTCTTTCTAGAAATGCTTTTACCCCAACCTTGTCTTACTCCCATCAAATTTTATATTTCATTTATATATTGGTACCGTTTTATATGTTAAACTATGAGGTGAACTAGTAGGTTGATTAAAAGCAAAAGTCGAAGGCAAATCTATATCTTGAGGCAATAGTTTTTCATTTTTAACCTTTTCCTCTAAATCAGCTTCTAAAGTTAAAAGTGTGGCCATAGATTCGTTCTTATTGGCAAGATTTTCAGGGATTTCAAAATCTATTTTCATTCTTTCTATTCTACCATATATGTGTATCATACGCGACTTTGTTCTTATGTATAGGAAATCTTTAGCTGTTCCTTTGAAATCTGTGACGTTATTTTTAATACTTTCTAAAGTCAAATTTACTGCAGTTTTTTTCTGTTTTAAAAGAAAAATCTGGATCGACTAATTCTGAAGGGTTGCTTTCACCTTTTCCTTTTATTAATAGCCTACCTAACATTTTTTTTTTTTTGTTGAGAATATATCAGTTTGTAATCACATTTCGGATACATAACTCATATTCTACTTCCGAAACTAACAAGTGTCTAACTTTCATTGTAGCCATTGTTAAATACTACTAACAAATTCCTATATTTTGTACAATAGTTGGATACCCACAAAACTATAAGGTTTGTATCAAAAATACTATAACTCCTTTCATTTAGAGTTAAATATGTCTAAAAAATTAAATTTATTATACCCTAACGTTTTATAAAGGCATAAAAAAGTTTATATAAATTCCAATTTAAATTTAACCGAACTACAAAGAGTGACCTTATTTTAATTTATCCCAGTTTAAGGTATTTAAATTATTTTACTTATTCAGGGAACCTTATTTACCACAATCGTTTACCTATATTACTTGTGAAACATGTTATTGTTACTTACATTTCTTTTTCTCCTATCTACCATTCGAAGACCTTGATCGGAAACTTCTAAAGTGCAGGGGTGCAGTTCCGGTTCATTTCCTGAATTTCCAATCACCCTCCTAACCGCCTGGCACACGACCGACGTGCCCTTGTGTGCTAGAGTCTCCACCGATCCGATATAACCTGAAAATTACCAATTACCATCTTCAGTAGGCTGCAGCCGTCGATTTTGTATACGCGAGTTTGTTAAAAAATATTTGTTTCGTATTTTGAAAAAGATCTTATTGTCTTATTAGCACACGAAAAATTGTAAAGGAATTTATCGTTATTTATCGTTATTTATCGTTATTTATCGTTATTTATCGTTATTTATCGTTATTTATCGTTATTTATCGTTACTTATCGTTATTTATCGTTATTTATCGTTATTTATCGTTATTTATCGTTATTTATCGTTATTTATCGTTATTTATCGTTATTTATCGTTATTTATCGTTATTTATCGTTATTTATCGTTATTTATCGTTATTTATCGTTATTTATCGTTATTTATCGTTATTTATCGTTATTTATCGTTATTTATCGTTATTTATCGTTATTTATCGTTATTTATCGTTATTTATCGTTATTTATCGTTATTTATCGTTATTTATCGTTATTTATCGTTATTTATCGTTATTTATCGTTATTTATCGTTATTTATCGTTATTTATCGTTATTTATCGTTATTTATCGTTATTTATCGTTATTTAACGTTATTTATCGTTATTTATCGTTATTTATCGTTATCTATCGTTATTTATCGTTATCTATCGTTATTTATCGTTATTTATAGTATAAATATATTAAATAAAGAAAAGTGGGCTGTTAGTATGTATAGATACCAACCTAAAAGATACCGCTCCCTGCGACCATGTTCACAAGAGGAGTCCCAATCACTATAATCACAGTCAACAGCATACGCAGATGGAAAAATCCCCATTCTTCCTGACCTAAGGTTGACACCTAAAAATATTAAAATACTACATCAATTCTAATGGGGCATTAACTAAAAATCACAGAAAATTCTTCAAGTAAAAATTAGTAACATAAAATGGCTGTAATAAACAACAGAAGGTCAATTGGTGTAAATTAATTATTAATTTACCTTTTTCATCTGGGTATTTAGCTTACAAATAGACTATATACAGGGTCAATCCTAAGTTGAAACTTATTTTACCTGTTTATGTAAGTTAAAATAAACATCTTTTTTAAATAACTTTTTTCAGAATAATCACCCGACAGTCATGAAAAAGTTTGTATAACAGATCAATAAGAAAACATAATAAATAAAAACTCCAGATTTTTATAAAATGAAATAGCAAATGACACCTACCTTCGCACCAAAGATCATCGGCTTCTTTCTGTACATATATCGGATCGCCTATTTCGATTTCTATTTCGTCCTCGTGCCTAGGAATGAATTTGTGAAGGGCCCTGTGTGTCGCCTCGAGCATATCTACGTCATTATAAACGACGCCGCCGATGACCGAGGGAGAAACCCCCAATATGGGGGACATGGATTTGGGACCGTCGGTCCCGGTAGGTGAATGGGCAGTACTGTGACCGCTATCGGCGTCAGTTAGAAGCCTGAAACGTTCGAAATATGCGATGAGCTTGCAAATTTTCAGGATCAGGGGCAGGTGATCAGGGTCAGGTGGTTAGGGGGTCAGAGGGTCAGGTGATCAGGGTCAGGGGATCATGATTAGAGAATCAGGATCAGGGGATAGGGGTAAGGTGATCAGGGTCAGGGGACCAGAGCCAAGGGATACGAGTCAGGAATCAGGGCCAATAGACTCAGGGCTATGGGATCAGGGTTAGGGATTCGTGATCAGGGCATCAAATCAGGGATTCAGGGGTAGGGGATCAGGGTCAAAGGACCAATCCTCGTATATTTGCATACATCTATTTTAAAATATATAACTGTACCAAAATCCATATAGGTATTTTGTATTCGGTGTTATTATTGCAAGCTTTACCTGTCAGATTCTGGCGAATCATCCCATAGATACCCACATTTTAATACTAGTATTGAGCTTGGTCCACTGTTAGTACCACCTAATTCATCCGCTAGTGACATGTCTCTGTTTAGCTGAGCGTTGTACATTGTAACTACTGATGCTACATTAAACCAAACAAAAATAATAACCTATTAATTGGGTTAACAGGTACTTAGGTACAGTCTGTTTGCTATACTTACGCGGGTTTCGGATTAAAAATTTTATGAGTATTTCTAGGTAAGTACCCGAAAGTTTGACCTGTTCTTTGGGGAAATATCAACTGGTTAAATGAAATTAAAAATAATGTACAACTTTTTAATTAAATAATAATAGAGAATCTTTTGTATAATTGAGAGCAGAATTAAACTTCTTCATTAATGTGGCTATTATAAACCTAATAATAATTTTACATTACACTTCACACAGAAAATATGGTCTATGTATATAATGAGAATAAAATATTTTCTAACATAAAAATTTGTTCCATGTAGAGAAATTCAAATGAAAAATAAAAAAATTGAACTTGCCAACAAAAATGAAAATCAGTCATTATCATCCAAAATATCATAATCGTCATCATCACTTTCATCACCATTAATTATTATTATGATTGTACTTATTTCGTTTATTTTATTTTCACGAGTCCACCAATCTTCTAAGTTTCTCGCACTTGGATATACAGTTCCGCCACACTTCTGGAGTTGCAATTGAAAATGCTTTTCGCCAAGTTTCCCGAATAGCGTCGTCACTATAACCATTAGGCCCAATATGGTTGTCATAATATTGTTTTACTATTCTCCATATATATTCGATGGAATTAAACTGGCAATGATACGATGGCAGACGTAAAACTTGATGACCGTAACTTTCAATAATCTGATCCACAACAAAGGTTTTTGGTTTTGCGTGTATATTTGCCAAGCGTAATAATTCTGATTTTAATATATATTGAGGAAATGGTATATGTTCTTTTGTCAACAATTCTTTAATTTTATTAACAGTCCAAGAATTCGTTGGACTTTTGTTTAATATTTCAGAATGACAAGGTGCATTGTCTAAAATAATTACGCTGATAGTCACTGGATTTTGATTTAGATGAAAATATTAAATCAGCACCTTCTATAAAACCCGATTTCCCTCCTGCATGTAAAATTATGTGTCGCTTCCCTTCTCCATTGGTATGTTTGATGGACTTTACGTTATCATCTTGCCATATTCTCTTGGTTGCACCCCTAGAAAATATCCATGTTTCGTCTAAATATATAAAATTCGCCCCTTCTTCTTCAAATTTAGAATATTTTCTTAGAAAGTTAATTCTCTTGTGCACGACAGAACTTTTTTCACAAAGGGCCTTTCTGTTATCCTCCTTTTGCAATTTGAAACTCAAGTTATGTATTACTTGCCATAGACTTTTCTGCCAATGTCGTCAAATTTTCTATCTATTAATTCCTAGAGCATCGCATACGCGTTGTTGTCTTCGGTTGTTGTACAGACAGTACCGATTTTAAAGAACCGCCATTTTCTTTTTCCGTAAAATACTTATGTACACTACAAATTAGACTATCTACATCTAACACACGTCGTCTAGGCATTTTTAAAATTTCCACTAAATTTACAATATACATACAATGTCAACACTTGCAAAGAATTAATTCAACTGCAATATTTGTAACAAATTTAGTACCTACCCTAATGTTATTTTAATTTAAATCTTACCATTAGGGCAATTTTACCTAATTTCTTGGGAAGAAGCTTATTGGAACTGGTTGTCAATGACTAATTTACATAATTTTGTTAATCCGAAACCGGCGTAAGTATAGCGAGTATTTATAATAGAATCGAAAAATATCTTAATTGTGTTTTTATAAAGTAAGTTTATTTGAGAAAAGACTTGACTTACATTTTTTATTTTTTGGGATTTCAGGTAGTTTTCTTCTTCGTCTTTCTCCCGACCAAGGTATCGAAGCGGAAGCGCCTACCGAGATGGCGCCTCCATCTTTTTTGCTGCCGAAAGATGGTGGGCCGCTGTTGTTGTCCAATCCATTTTCGGCGATATCACAGTAATTGTCTAGGTCACTCTTGGAAGACGTCGGTGAGTCTTCGTCGATGACGACATCGTGAACTAGGCTGAAAAAAAAGTATCTTCTTATAGCATATTGTTTTCTGCAACCAGTTCTTCAGAACTTATATAATTTCATATACATTCTAGTAAAAAGACTGTACGGATATGAAATCCACCATTCAAAGTTCATATTTTGTCAACAGGCTACTATTATTGTTTGAAATTTTAAATAAGTGACAATTCTGTTAAACTGTCAGTATATTGTGACGCGAAGCCAACCCTGTTCTTTGTTTATTACCTTACCGCGACAGAAAGTCTAGCGCTGGCCACATTGAGACCCATCTCGAAACTCGAGAAACTGATTGGAATGTTTTTCATCGCAGTCTCACGCGTGTAAAACAATTTCTAGAACTTCCAGGCTGAGCATCTAATCAGATTTGGTTCTTTCGAGAGTGTTACATTTTTATATAAATAGCCGGGATTTTGTTGATAGAAGATAACATTCCAATTCAAGTGTTGGATAGTAAAGACAAATTGTAATAAATAAATTAGAATTGTGAGTTATAATAGTATCTAAGTATTATATAAATTAATTAGCACGTTATAAATAAATTGTAAAAGAAGTGTTTTAAATAAATAAACTAAAAATAAATTAAACAAACCTTACAATTTTTTTGGTCATAAAGATTACATTTTATGTACAATCTATTGGTTCATTATATAAGTAAAAATAATATAAATATTTAATAGTTAAATTTAATACCTTTTAATTTGTGTGTGGCTGAAGGACTAACGTTTATTTCCAGTAAGGAGGAAAAAGAAAGATAAAATAAAAAGGGAAAAATGGAATAAAAGGAGAAAAAATTATTAAAAATGAATGATCTTTGTGAACAATCGACAAATAATAGTATTCCCCAAGATATTCGTCTAAATTTATAAACAAATCGTAAATTTAAATAAAACTATCTAAAATCTAAAAGGAGAAAAAATAATTAAAAATGAATGATCCTTGTGAACAATCGACAAATAATAGTATTCCCCAAGATATTCGTCTAAATTTAGAAAACAAATCGTAAATTTTAATAAAACTATCTAAAATTTATTTAATAGATTTAATTATAATAATTAAAAAATTATTTAACTCCTTGGCGCAGAGGTAAGGTATTGATTGGCACTGGTTTTTTCGCTTGTTTTCAAGGAAAACTAAATTCAGACAAAACTACAAACACAAAGATCAATTACCGCTCTGGCAAAATCAACACAACAGCAGTATAATTACCAAGAGACATCGTTTCGTTCTCAACCCCCTCGTGTGAGAATAATTTGTAATCAATGTAATACAAAGTGTAATACAGTGATATGGCAACCTAGGGATGCGACCTGCATTAGCGCAAAGTGTGATCAGTCCTCCATTTTGCTATGCTCAATTTGTCAAAATTGTGAGTTATACTTCTAGTGACATGTCTGTATTTAAATTAAATTTTTATTTGTGCCTGAACTTGCAAAAACAACTACAAATACCTAAAAATGTCTAAAAATGTCTTAAAATGTCTTAAAATGTCTAAAATTATCTAAATATGTCTAAAAAAATGTCAAAAATTATCTAAAAATATCTAAAAATGTCTAAAAATGTCTAAAAATGTCTAAAAATGTCTAAAAATGTCTAAAAATGTCTAAAAATGTCTAAAAATGTCTAAAAATGTCTAAAAATGTCTAAAAATGTCTAAAAACGTCTAAAAATGTCTAAAAATGTCTAAAAAAATATGTCTAAAAATGTCTAAAAATGTCTAAAAATGTCTAAAAATGTCTAAAAATGTCTAAAAATGTCAAAAATGTCTAAAATGTATAAAAATATCTAAAAATGTCTAAAAATGTCTAAAAATATCTAAAAATATCTAAAAATATCTAAAAATATCTAAAAATATCTAAAAATATCTAAAAATATCTAAAAATATCTAAAAATATCTAAAAATATCTAAAAATATCTAAAAATATCTAAAAATATCTAAAAATATCTAAAAATATCTAAAAATATCTAAAAATATCTAAAAATATCTAAAAATATCTAAAAATATCTAAAAATATCTAAAAATATCTAAAAATATCTAAAAATATCTAAAAATATCTAAAAATATCTAAAAATATCTAAAAATATCTAAAAATATCTAAAAATATCTAAAAATATCTAAAAATATCTAAAAATATCTAAAAATATCTAAAAATATCTAAAAATATCTAAAAATATCTAAAAATATCTAAAAATATCTAAAAATATCTAAAAATATCTAAAAATATCTAAAAATATCTAAAAATATCTAAAAATATCTAAAAATATCTAAAAATATCTAAAAATATCTAAAAATATCTAAAAATATCTAAAAATATCTAAAAATATCTAAAAATATCTAAAAATATCTAAAAATATCTAAAAATATCTAAAAATATCTAAAAATATCTAAAAATGTCTAAAATATGTAAAAAGATGTAAAATGTGCAAAACGTGTAAAAACGTGTAAAAATGTGTAAAAATGTGTAAAAATGTGTAAAAATGTGTAAAAAATGTGTAAAAATGTGCAAAAAATGTGTAAAAATTTGTAAAAATTTGTAAAAATGTGTAAAAATGTGTAAAAATTTGTAAAACTGTGTAAAAATATGTAAATATGTGTAAACATGTGTAAAAATGTGTAAAAATTTGTAAAAATTTGTAAAAATGTGTAAAAAATGTGCAAAAATGTGTAAAAATGTGCAAAAATGTGTAAAAATGTGTTAAAATGTGTAGAAATGTGTAAAAATGTGTACAAATTTGTAAAAATGTGTAAAAATGTGTAAAAATGTGCAAAAATGTGCAAAAATGTGTAAAAATGTGTAAAAATTTGTAAAAATGTGTAAAAATGTGTAAAAATGTGTAAAAATGTGTAAAAATGTGTAAAAATGTGTAAAAGTGTGTAAAAATGTTTAATAATGTGAAAATGGTGTAAAAATATAAAAAAATGTGTAACAATGTGTAAAAATGTGCAAAATATGTAAAAATGTGTGAAAAGGTGTAAAAATATACTAGAAGAGCTATTCATAAGTTGGTGCAATAATTATAAATATTATTCAGGACAATATTATGCCCAATTTGTAAATAATGTTTAAAGGTATGCTATTAAAAATGTTGATCCTTCGAGCCGGATCACACGGGGGGAAATTGGAAAATGTCTTGTCTATCTTTCTGCACTGACAAATTTGAAATTTTTTAAACGTTAGAAATACAGAAGTAAAAATACCATGGTCTGAGCCAATAAAGGTTGCGTCAGCAAACATTTGTACATCTAATTTTAAATGTCATTTTAATTACGTCGAAGCCGATAAATAATATTACTGTCTACCTATGCACTCGGAATAGAAAGACAAAAAAACATGTTTGATGCAATAAATTTCGTACCAGTAAAAATCCATATTTAAACACGTCCCTCGCTCACCATAATTATGCCAATTATTCATACTCGTATAAAAATTAAAATTTACCTAATTTAAAGATAAATAATATAAAAATGATTCTTTTCAGACGCAAATATTCCACAAAAAAATACCCATCATGCATTAATTTCCAAACTAAATAAAATTTAAATCGTTAATTGTTGATAACAAACTAATACTTTTATCGATAATAGATACACTTACGAGTAGAATGGAGCTGTGGTTTTGGTGTGCGATGTTATTTTTTCGAAACTATGCCTAAATTCTTCGAACTCCGTGTCTGCCATGTTTATTTTCACCCCTACACTCTATTGATTTCCATGGCATACGTCGATTCGGCGTAACGGGGTTTTCCACTATTAAGGTCGCACTGTGGTGATGAGAACCTATAAACTGGACAAATAATTGTACCGAGATCAAGTTTTAACACCGGCGCCATCTAGCGATCACATCCTGCTGTTGCAGAAATCATTTTGTGATTGTATACATATATTAAAGGTATCGTATCTAATAGTACGCTTTGTTTACATTAAAATTGGCAACATGTTGTCAGATCTCTTCTCTCAAAAATATTGTAATAAATTTTGTTTAAAATTTTTAATATTTCCCTATTAAAAAACAGAAGAATTAATAATAATGTTTATTTATAAAAAGTACACTAAGTAGATACATACAATACAATGAAATGAATAAATATAAAAATATCCACGGAACCATTACAAATATTTGATTTAACTATATCCGAAATACATTGAATTAAACTTTTGTTATAACACATATTTAATGAATAAATTAAAAATTCGGAAATAAATCTCAAAAATCCTCTACGATTTATTAAGACCATCTCCGAATCACAAAGTTGAGATGAATACTTGGAGATTTGAAAAAAGTCTGTCGTATCTAGGGATCGAACTCGGACATCCTTGTATGCTAGACAAGTGTCCTTCTAGACCATCACGACATTGACTGTCGAAATTTCTAGATAGAAATTTGATATGCTTGTTCGGGTCTCCAAACACTAGATGGGACCACTCGTGAAATTGTGAAATCTTCCTCCATTATTATGGGTAAAACATGACCAAAGAATCCAAATATATTATGACGTTTATTAATATTTTTGGTTATTCTAATTTTTCCGTCTGATTTTAGAGTTTTTTTCTTGTTGGCTTTAGTTTCTGTTTATAGTTTCTTCTTAGTTATTTGCAAAATTGTGATGTTTTGTTTTTCTATTTCCTACTGTGTTTTGCAATGATTTTGATGCTATTGTCTCGTTACGCGTGTTTTTAATAAAAATGTCACGTTTCACGTGTTTCAAATAATTATGGGAATATCTATGTCCCGGGAGTTAAATAACAAAATATATGAATTTGGGCCTCAATCACGTAAACACTATTTAGCCTTAAACTTGGCTTCGTAGCCCTTAACTGTATAAGGCCCCTGCTGCTGTAAGCACCTAACACGTCTTTAAACAAGGGCTGAAGAAAATACAGTGTTCTCAAAACAAGTATAATGTAATTACAACGATTATATAAAATGTCTTAACTCGACATACACAAATACAGGCTCAATATAATAATAAGTACACAAAACGTAAACTTACCAAATCCACTAATATTTGGGCACATGTCACAACCTTTAGCTAACTATTCAAAAATGCAATTATTCAAAATACAAAATAAATACTTTTAAATTAGACTATGAAGATCATGAGCTGGAGCTGCTACTGGGAATCTCCTACAAGGGGAACCTCCTATGGGGAGGATCCGTTCCCTGTGGAAAAATCCCTGCGCATCCCCTCGACATTCCTTTTATAACTTCTCCATAGTTTATCGTTATCCAAACTAATGTTTAATAATTATTAAATAATCAACCTTGCATATGATTGCTAATCAAAACAAATTGTCGACATACTTAAACAAAGTTTTATATACAGGATGTTATTTAATTAATTAATTAAAATTAGGAAAAATATGAATTTATATGAGTCATGACACTATGTTGAAACCTTCGAGAAAAACTTCATTGATTCATCATGCGTCAGTTTGGAAATCCATAAAAAGGCAAATGGATATAATTAATTTATCGCTGGACTAGATCCCGAAATCTTTTTTCACATAAGAGAGTACACCTTCTGTATTTGGAAAGAAAATATTTATCAGTGAATGAATAGTAAAAGCATTCACCTTTTAATCCAATACCTATACCTATTACATTTCTGCTCAGGTAAAAAGACATTTATAATAGTTATATATGTACCAAATCAGAAAAGTGATTCTTTATCGAACTAGTCTCCCAGATAGCACAAATACGTCTTATGGACGTTCTAAAAACGTCCTGCTTGGACATTCAGGACATCCTTACAACGTCCATTTCACGGACGTGGACGTCTTATGGGCGACTTTGGAACGTCCGTTATTAATAATCAGGATATCTTAAGAACGTCCATTTAAGAACATTGCATGGACATTTTTGAAAGTTCAAATGGGTGATAACAGGATGTTTAAGGAAATTAGTGAAAATAATGAATAATTTAAAAAAAAATTATTTAGTAGCAAATGATCTATGAATAATAAAATTATTAAAACTTTTTCATTAAATTCATCCCATCTCTCCTCTACTTTGCCCTTGTCAACATTGCCTGGATTGACAGAAGTTCAGTTTTTTCTTGATTTGGCCATATTTATCTTCTCAGCTGAACCTGAAAATAATTTAATTGCTTATTCAAAATAAAAGGCAGATCAATATGAAAATCCAATCTGTTTAAGTTTGCCCTGCTAGACATTATGAATTCACTAACCTTTTAGCTTTGTAGTAATCACTGGAAACACTTCCACCTTTCTCAGAGATAAAAATAGTCCAAACTGCAAAAAATTAATATTAATCAACTACAAACACACAGAGTCGAATCACAGTCAAATGGCGGAATGATAGAACTTGTACTCGTATAATATGTACATACCATCGAATCATGAACATTGAACACCATGTTTTTTCTTTTTTTCTTTTTAATAAATCTTGAGCCCTGAGAATATTTCAATGCATGAATCTAAATAAATAAAAATTATAAAATGTCACTTGTCAACAATATTCCTTTCTTGCAATGACATTCTTTGATTTTTGTCTATTTGGCCTTCATTCAATTGGATATTGGGACAATGCCATCTTTAATAATTATTTATATTATCTCATTATATATGTTGTTTATATAATATACCCAAATAATAATACAATGCGAATGTGAATCCATGGAAATATAATAAAGCACGCAGAACTGACGTTGTACGGATAACTATTTCTTGACGTCCCGAAGATTTACTAAATTGAACATACTTAAAACGTCCAGAATTGGTCCTGGACGTACAGACGATAAATGGAAATGTAATGGATGTCTTTAGGACGTCCTGTGCTATCTGGACTGAGATTATGAGCCGAACGAGACAAGCGAGTGAGGCGAGTAACAGGCGAGTTCGATAAAGACACTTTCCTGACGTGGTCCATACAAACTTTTATCGCCAACCGTAAATAATTATAATTAATAAAAAAGGAGATATCCCATATTAGTATGACAAAGTAAACAGACAAATGACAGCGAGTACAAAACAAATCAGTTATAGACCATTTCTGTCAGACGGCCATGACTGTGTTGATAAACATTGGCGGCAGTTAAAATATTTGATTTTTGCAGTAATATAAAGTGTTTGTTTACTTCCGCAAATCGCTATGGTAATGCTAGGCTTTATTGACGGTTGGCCATAATACTTATTTATATTTATGTACTAAGTCAGCAAAGTAAATCTTTATCGAACTAGTCTGAGATTATGAGCCGAGCGAGAGAAGCGAGCGAGGCGAGTAACAGGCGAGTTTGATAAAGACACTTTGCTGATATTTATTTAATAATAATATCGATACCTTTTTGCCAGACTATCGTAAGTGCCATTTGAACAAATCAACGGCCAGTTTCCATATGTGGCTATCTATAAAATCTTAATTGTCCAGAAAACACAAAAGTAAGTTTAATACACTCCATCAAATCAGGTTTCATAAATAACCCATTAATTGGAAAACCTTGTCTTAGTTTATGCAGTTCTTAATTGTTTTAGAGAATTTTGACTTATTACTCTAATCCAGGACTTGTTATGAAACAAATTAAACAAAAGAAGTACAGATAGCCATTTTTGACACCAATATTTTTACTAAAAATCGTAGTAATACAAAGAAACTTAAAACTATAAACATGAGCCGGCAAACTTGTAATTTTGGCGGGTACTAAACCGTATGTCTACACTAATGTGGTATATGAGGTTATGTAAGACTTTTCATTTCAATTTTAGCTTTGTTCAGGCCGTTGGAGTCTATGCCGGTCGGCGTAGCCAGGTATGGGTTAATATTTTCTGGTGGCGGATTCGTCTTCTTTGTCTGTTAGAACAAGTGGGAGCAGCAATAAGTAAAGACATTCGTTTTAGTATCCACCCAAACTACAAATCGGCCCCAGATCCTAATTCATTAAAAGTCCCATTTATTGTGAAAAAAGTTCTCTTCTTCTGGGTCATTAACGTCTAACACAACAGTTTCATCCTGAATGCTTTCTTCAGCTAACAAATTAGTAAAAAAGAATCGACAGTCTTCCGGTACGCTACCAGAATTGCAAATATCTTTTAAATGCTTCAACTTCAATGCAGAAATTGGTTTCTCTTCTATGTGTAATGGTTTGAGACAAGCTTCCATCGAACCAACTGAACTCGCCGTCCTCTTCGTGGAAGAATTATAATGCTGCGAAAATCTTTATTGATATCCGTTTTCATTTTTATTTCAAACGGGGATGCCTTCTCATATCTTATCCACTTATTATGGTGCCAGTTTACAACGTTACCAGCTGCATCCTTATTTCGGTTTGCCATAATTTTGTCAGAATTTTCCAGTCAAGAAAGCCGATGTCAGCTCTCTAAAAAACTTGGTACTTGGGATTATTTTGTTTGTCACCCATTCGTGAGGTAAATATAGAGGTACATTTTTTGCTGCTGTTTCGATTCTTGCATGCATAGAATCACATTCCATCTGACTGTGGCCAAAAACTAAAACTTTTGACCAATTATGTTAAGCTATAAATCTTGCATTGCATAAATAAACATGTCAGCCACAAATTGGTTATTTTGGTCCCCACGTGTTTCTAAATAGCCTTACATTTTCGAAGGCTTTTAAAGTTGTGAAATAGACATGGCGCTATTTCACACAAGCCACGTGAGCCTTCTATCTCAGACCACATGTAACATTTACCAATATTGTTTCCACAGTTAAAAATAGTAAAATTATATGTGGTCTTGTTAAAAAGAATGGGGTTTGTAGGATCTGTAGGTACGTCCAATACCTGCTACAAGTCAAAGTTAGTAGAATGTATTTTTTCAGGAGTTTCTTTGGCTTCAGCCTTGTCCAAGTTTTTTTTCCTTTCTAGCACTCTCTTTATTTTTTATGTGAAGGTTGTATTTTTCAAGCATATTCGCTTGGTTTCAGCATTGGCAGCCTTGTACGATGTACTTGTTGGACACTGATCCTTCCTGGGCTTATGTTACGATAAGCTAAAAATATGACGATAGTAAGACTCTTTTGGATATTCCTTGTTTTCTTTTGTACACTCCTCTTTGTATAATCTGTACATCTGCTTTATATTTAATTTCGGATCCAAATTTTTCTACAATCTTTTCTAAAGTAATGAGAAGTTTCAAAACCCTCTGTTACTACGCCACTGCTAATATCTAATATTTGTGATTCACTATAGAGAAGCTCGCTTAAATGTCTTGCTAGTTTTTTGAGTATTATTTGAAGAAATCGTTTTTGAGAGCTTTCACTTGCATAAAAAGGTAAGTTCTTGACACCTCTCCCCAACCAATAATGCCACCATATTGAAGGTGTGATTTAATCACCATATTGAAGGTGTGATTTAATCAAACTATGATATATAATTATTTAATGTTAGTATTCCAAATATTATACAACTTATTTAAATCTAAATAAAGTACTTCTAGGTACATAGTTTTTTGGTAAATAATCTACATGTTATTAACGAAAAATCTTGTTAGTTGCCAGAGAAATTTATCTTAACCACCCTAATTATTTGTCAACGTCCCGGCGCGACACGACGGTCAACATTTATGCTGAGATATAAATAAATTCAAGGCATTTTGTAGGAGCACAACATAAACATAAAATTCTTATGGGTCATTAACTTTGATTAATATTGTTTCGTCGCCACTAGCATTAAACATTAATATTTCAGGAGGCGAATAATTTTTTTCTAGTTTAAATGTTAGTTTGATGAGTATTTAGGGGTGATTCTCTAAGGGTTACAAAAGTAAACAAAATTTTGATAACATTATTAGAAAAGTATTATAATTCCATTGAAAAGAGCATCGTCTTAATTAAGGGAGATATTGATGCTTTCAAACGATAACTTCCTATCCATCCTGTACTTATAAAAAAGATCCTCTTCTAACCACTAATTGTATTGTATTAATTCTTTATAAATCTTATTCCTTTTTTTATCCTGTGTTAAATTCTTTGCTAACTGACCACAGTTTTCTATCTTCTACTCCAGTGTTACTCAAAGTGTGCTCCGCGGAACCCTGGGGCTCTACAAAGTCTTTGTGGGGGCTCCGCGAAGAAAATAATAATAATAAAAAAAAGAAGCAGTACTATCTCCACAAAAGGAAAGGACCTGGCTTGAGGACCTTCTTTTTTTTTAAATGTGTTTAGGGTTCCGTCAAATATTTCGCTTATATATAGTAATTTAACATGATTTAAAAACAAATACATGAAATGGGCAAAATA